TAAAAATTGTTACCACTAGAGAGAGAGAGAGATGAACCTCATCAGGGATTGGAGTTTGAGCCCCAGAAGCCTTGTGGAAGGACTGAACAGCCTTATTTGTCCGTTGTTCCTCCTTCCCTTCAAAACAAAAATCATTTAATGGCAAAGCAGGCAATAGAGCCTCACAAACACTTGCTAAAGACTGCATCTCAGCTGAAGAGAATCCATGACTGTATTTTCCTGATCTTCTCCCTCCACTCAACAAAGGATGACACTCCTTTCTCATCTCTCTCTCTCTCTCTCTCTCTCTCTCTCTCTCTCTGAAAACTAAGTATGTTGTGTTATACACAGTGGAGCATTTCAAGAGAGAAAAAAAGGGAAAACACACTCCACCAAAGTTATTATGATATTATGATACAAAACTATTACTCACTATATATATATATATATATATGTATGTATGTATGTATGTGTGTGTAGGCAGATGCATATAGGCCCTTTTGCTTGGTTGGTTACAGGCTTGTCATAAAGTCATCATTGCAGCATGCATACGTGCCACTTTTGTAAACCAGAATTGGATTGCCCCACCAACAAAGGCTTTAAAATTCCCTAACCATAGTTACTATAGAACCAATTTGATATGATTTTCTCTAGACTATAGTTTTTTTCATGTTATGTCTATTGTGTTTTTTTTTTTTGACTTTTTTCTTTGAGAATGAGAGAAACTTATTGTTTAAGAAATATTTTGAAGATATATATTTGATTAGATTAATGTTCTTAGTAGTCCAAAAAATTGATCATGCACTTCTCTTTATATTTTTATATAAAACTGGAAAAAAAAAAATACATGACAACTTTTTTGATGTGCCAAACCGTTCCTAAAATACTCTTTATTATATTTACAAGTAAAATATTAGTACTTTGCATTAAATACATAAATTTATGTGTTAGTAGAATACACGTAACATAAAGTGAATGAAAAAGGCAAGAAAAGAAAGATGAGAAAAAATAGCTAGCATTCCTATCATATGTGAAGAATCTTGACTAACCAAAAGCACCTAAAACAAAATTTTAAATGTCACAAATTTTTAATATAAAAAAAATGTGTTGAAAGAGGTGAGGATTCTAATTTTATCTATTTGAATTTGAGCATCACCTCTCACAATTATTAATGCCATAATTTTTTATCGTATAGTCTTTTTTAATTTTTTTTACTATAACATACAAAGGAGTGTAAGTAAACAAAAGAAGGGCGAGAACACAAAATTTTCAACAAAATAAGTGAAAGTAGACAAAAGATGAGTCAAAAAATCAGTTCCCTATATTTAATTTTTTTTTAAATAGACGTCTTTGATTCCTTAATATGTTTACACCTACACGTGGCAAGAGAATAACCAACCATTAGTAGTAGTTAAGTATCATTTTCTTCAAGTTGATGTTATAGCCAATCGATGGGCACAAGAGGACACCATCAGTCCACAATCGTACGGTTATATGTCCAATTAGCGAAAGCTGTCGTCTAAAATAGACTGATCCTGTCATTTAACCAAAATTGTTGAAGCCATTTTTGTAGCTTAAATTGGATACACACACCGCCAAACATTGCAAAATAAGAGAGTGGATGTTAAAAAATTTAAGTAGCCGACAATATAGGTAATCTTCCGAACATATGAAGCTTCTGCGCTACACGAGAGTCACAAAAACACCAAGCTTCTACGCACGGCACCAAACAAAAGTATAGAATATGATCCGTCAAGAAAGAGCTTTCAAATGTAAACAAATATGTAACTTGATAGTCTGGAAGCGTCAAGGTTGACCATCTGTTGACGGTTTTAGCCATTTCGCAACGGGTTTATCCGTTAGGAAACCCTTTTGTTTGATGGATCAAAAGCTTCAAGAATTCAGATAAACGGAATTAGGATTGTATGTGTGGAGGGGCCGAATTATAACATGAGTTTTTGAAAAGAAAATTAAATCTTACAACAGTAAATAATATACTGTAAAAAACAAACATTGGTATTGATTATGGACGATTAATAGACTGAAAAAAAAAGGAAAAAAAAAGAAAAGAAGAAGAAGTAAATAATATAACCTTTGTACTTTATATTAATATAAATTTGTATAATTGAATTTCCTAATCATTTGTCTCAAATCAATGGTTAAACTAGTAATGTAAAGCTTGTATTTTTTTCATTGCATCCCGCCACTTGCATATACTTCCAGACTCCAGTTCCTCTATAGGACAAATACTTGACTGTCAGCTTGAAGGATCATGAAGGGTACGTGTTCTTGCCAGTTGCCACCAGCCACAACTCCTTTTATAAAGGTTTCACGCTCTCCAAATCCTTCCCTAGGAATATGACTTCCATTAACCCAACCAATATGTTTTTTTTTTTTTTTTTTTTTTTTTTTTTTTTTTTTTTTCTAAGGTCAACCAACATTAAGGGATTGTTTGGTATTCATTTGAATCCAATTTTTTAAACTCAAAAACAGAATTTGAGTCCAAAACAAAGAAAACCTGTTTGGTAGCCCTATTTTTAAAAACTCAAACTCAAGAACAACTAAAAAAATACCCCAATTATTAAACACAAAAAATATCTATTTTTCAGTTTTTTTTTAACAACCCACAAGTTCTCAAAATTTTAAGATTTGAAAACAGTTTTCAAGTTGCATACCAAACAAGTTTTTGAATCTTAAAAATAGATTTAAGAACTCCTTGTTTTTAAAAAAAAATCAAAGTTTTTGAGTTCCCTATTTGAACAGGATATTTAATGCCCCCCAAGCTTCTTTTGTTTAATTTTGAAATGAATCAAAATCTAATGTTTGTAATTTGTTTCATTTCGACATTGATGGACTAAACGATCGAGAAACATAATTTGTTGATATTTTTTTGAAAAAAATATATTAATATAGCATAAAAATTCTAGATTTTTAAGTTTTTGTATTGACTTTAGCGTTTCTTTTTTTAAGGAATGAATGTAATTTGAACTCTAAATGTCGAACTTCATGTTGTAGTGTTCTTTTCTCAAATTTATTTATGTCTATTTAGAACATACTTAATGGTATTTTTTATTGGATTGAATTCTATGCGATTATCTTTGCGATTTTCATATTTTCATAAAAACCTATCATAATTGGATTGGATCTTGACATCCAAACACATTGGACGGATTGTAAAATCTCAAATCCAATATAAAAAAAAATGGGATTGGATTGGATTGGATTTATAAAAATTAATTGGTTTCAAACCGATGTACACCCCTAATAAGGTGTAACCAAAGTCAAAGATTATTGTCAACATCACTCAAATTGTATCATAAAAGAAAATACATGGCTCTTTCTTCTTTGCATATAAATTATAGCCTAACATATGTGCATAATTTTTTTCTATTTTATTTATAATTTTAATACATTATCTCCATGTAAGTGTCAAAACATGATTTCTTTATAAGAAGAATGACTCCTTAATAAGCCCACCCATACTTAAACAGTTTAAATATTTTGATGGTGTGATTGGCCTCCTCACTTTCAACTCATCATTAGAAATGTGAATCTTCTTAATTTGAAAAGCAACATACAGAATTCTATAGTGAGGGCTTTATATATGACCCTTAGATGAGGCCATATCTCTTAACCGTTTGATCAAATTGGTTAGCTATTAGATAAGTTGATTTGCCTAATCCAATTGCTAAGAGATAGGACATCACCTAAGAGTCATATATAAAGCCCTTACTGTAAAACGTCTCAAGCAACATGACATTTCCCATAATGACACATGGTCCAATGTGGCCCAATTAAATGGGCCTGCTTTCACATTTCAAATCCCAACTCCACAAGGCATAGGCATAGGCATGAAAAACGTTCATCCTCCAACAACCTCCATAATAACTCAGGAAATAACAATGACCTACCTACCGATGGAGCGCTTGTGATCCTCAATTTTGTATTTCTTTAGAGGTTACATGTGGGCCAGTTGCCCAAGAAATCCAAGAAAACTATTGCTACTAGTCTGGGCCCTAGCCCAGTCTCCTAGAAACTATAATGAAAGGTTGGGGGTCCTCAAATTAATGAACACCAAAATCTGCTTCTTGTGAAAACACTAAAAAAAGGTTTATATTTGTTGTAAGGAGCCTTCAAGGTCATCTCCAACTGTGGACGGCTAAATATAAACGACCCATAAAATTTAACCTATCATTTATAGTTTTTTAAGAAAATAGCACTGGATTATTTTTTAACATCTCCAGCAATGCAAAACTAAATCATAGCCCCCTCAATATTTTATTAATTTTGAGTATATTCTATTGGTTAATTTAATTAAAGTACTACTTAGACCCTATTTAAAATACATTTAGAAGAGAAAAATATGAAAATAAGTTTTTGGAAATTATCAGTAGGTGCCTCCCCTGGATACTGAAAATTTTGTTTCAAACCACTTTCACCACTTTCAAACTCAGAACCAACAAGCAATGGCAAAAGATCACACTCCACGGTACACCGCACTATCCCGGATTCTTTGCCCCCAAGTTGCTCAAGGCAAGATGACAGACTCTTGAGAGAAGGCCTCACAACCTGGAGGCTTTGGGATTGTGGGAGATGTTTAATATCTTCATACATATAAGATATAGCTAAAAAAAAGCCTGGCCAAAAATGAATTACAAAGAGGACAATTAGCCACGTCAAACTTATTCCTCTTCATCCTCTGGGTTTGGTGAGCAGCTTGCCTTGGGCTGACCAGTCAAATAAAATGTTCAATTGTTGTTGTCATAAAAAAGCTCCAAACTAAGCCTATAAAACTCCTAATATGAGAGGAAAAAATACCAAAAAGGTCTAACCAAAAACAAGATGCATATGACACAGAAAGGAGAAGTTTACATCTAAATAGATAAGCCAATACATTATACATAACAATACACATTACAGCAGCATCTTAGCACACAAAACGCATTACGGAAGCACATTTGTATATCCTCTTTCCTAGATAATCATAAATGTATGATCAGAATTTAAACGCATGTGCAAACCTATGATAAGTGCCTCCACAGTGCTGGGCGATCTCTTGATATAAGAAGAGCCCGAGAATCCAAGTAATCAAAAGAAGGTGCATACAAGTCATCTGGACCAATAACTTCTCTGGCGTTTTGAGTCCCATCGTCATTGGTCAACAAAGGCACTCCATCATCCTTCAAGGCATCAAATACAAACAGCCCTAATCCACAAACACCCATGACAAGGTTTGAGTTCCCCCAAACTTGCGTAATCGCTGTGCAATGGCTGTGAGCATTTGATTCTGGCAAGGAATAAGTGCTGAATAGCCTTTGTTTTCGCACAGAGAACTGTTGCACCTGTGAAGAGGACTGTTTTTTCCATCCTGACCTTGCACTACTGCAGCCAAGGAAGATAGAATCTCCGCGAGAGGAAACTGACTGCACATTTACACCAAGTTTTGGTATCTTAAGACCGACGCCAGACGGATGGCGAAAGTCTAGAATGTTAATAGAATCTTGGGTACAGAACACTCCATCATTTCCTTCTGCTTCCGAGGAACTTACTCTGCAATCCAAATAACCACTGAAAATGTTAATAGAGGTTCTTTGCAAATGTTTCAAAGATGGAAAAGCAGATTTCTACATCGCTTGTATATTCTCATGCTAACACTAATTTCCCACCTCATACAGTATCAACTATAAGCAAGAGAAGAAAATGACGTCCAGATGAAAAAGGGTTTATCACATATAGAAAACTAGTGAAGCAGTGACATATTCAAGCGGATGATGGAGGCCAGATCCATTAGAAAATCAATGTTGAGAGCAAATTCATCAAGCAATGCTAGCAAAACAAGTCAAAATATGCAGGAACCAGAAAATGTAGAAAACGGAAAAAAGTAAAAGCCAAAAGAAGGTTTGACATCCACCTGTGTCGAACACCACCACCTAGTTCAGCATCCGTGTTATTCACATGAAGTGCGGAGATTTTTCGACCAGAAGAAGAAACAGATAGTAAAGCTTGAGGGTTGAGAGAGCTAACATCCCATAGAGAAATTGATTCAGCTTCAGCTACAACAACTTTTCCTCTGTTTCTCCACTGCAAGGGACTTGAATTGTCCATTGTTATCACAGGCTTCGCTACATCCCATTTCATAACTTGCTCGCCATCACGGATATCGTAAATTCTCACAACTCTCTGACAGCTGGCAGTTGAGACAATAAGAGGTCCGCAAGGTCTATACCACCATTGTTGAGTTTCAGGATCCAGAAGATTAGACAAAGCATTTCTTCCATATGAGATGTTGTTGGGCAAGGGGCCGAGCACTGTTCTTGAAGGGGCTAAACCATCCTCAATATGGAAAGCACGCACATCTTTGGCATAGAAGTCCCATGAGCAAAATCCTGAATCCATCGTATTTCCTGCAGACGCTGCCACAACATACCTTCCTGAACAACCATCAGCACTAGGAGCACGGATTATCCAACAGTCTCTCCACATATTAGGTGAAACTCCTACAGGAGGTTTGTACACCACTTTTTCCTGAAGAGACAATGAACCATCAGTCAATAAAGCAAATTTCATATGCAGCAGTTACGATTTTATGTCCATCTTTTCATACTGCAGTATATATCCATGTGTTGTATCTTGCTATTCCATGTCAATATTTGATATGAGATAATTGAAAGAAAATAAAAAGAAATTTGGAATGAAAGTAATATCAGATAAACAATTCAAATTCAAACTGAATATGCACAGGATGTGAGATTCCTTTTATTTCTCAATCAGTAAAGGGAAAATAGCAAGTAAAGGAAGGAATTTGAATACTGATCAAGGCACAATGAAGCTCCAACAATAAAGGGGAAAAGTTAAATACCTCGCAATTTACGATATCATAGAAGGTGCATGAGCTATCATCATGAGCAAGAAGAACTGATTCTCCCTCAGAAACAAACCACCCTCCAGTTGATGTTTTTTGGCCTATTTCGTTCAGCTGGTAAATGCAAGTGTCCTCAGTTTCCTCATCAATAATCATTTTCTGTGTATTCTCCTGATCATCAAACTCATCAAGTGTTTCATCCGTTGTGAGAATGAGCTCCGCATTTTGCTTTCCAGTGACCAGTTTTGAAGATTTTTCAACTCCTGCAGTGGTGATACCCTCCACTTCTTGAACTTCACAACATCCCAGAACTTCCTGACCATCCCTCGTTGTAACTTTAGTTTGTTCCAAGGAAGCCAAGAACTCTATTGCAATTGGATTGTCATCTATAAGGCTCAAAGACTTCTTATCAACCTTTGATTCACAACTGGATTCAACTTCTTGGGATCCATGACTTTGAGAGCTTTCTGATGATTCTTTCAATGCCGTGCGGTTTCGAAGCAACTTATGATGAGGAAAGAGTCTAGCTTCCAAGTCCTCGCTATTCAACCCTTTATGATGAGGAAAGAGTCTAGCTTCCAAGTCCTCGCTATTCAACCCTTTCACCAAACTCTTAGCATTAATCTCCTGCTCAATATGACCCTTTTCAACCACTTTGGAATTCTGTTCGATATGCTCATCACTTTTCGGCAACCCCATCTTACCACCTGAATCATTCGGAACATGTCCCATGGCCTTCTCAATCCCCGAAATCTTTTCCTGAATATCAGAGAGTATCACCTTTGACGTATCTGGATTATTCATATCCAAAATCTCCTTTGTCTTCTTAATATCGGAGGCAATCCGCTTAACCTTCCCTTCCAAGAAAGCAAGCTTCTCATGAAGCTTACTCGGATATTTGATACCAGAACGACTGCCATTACTACCTTCTTCAGTCAATGCCTTCCCTTTTAAACCCTCCAAAATCTTTGCACTACTCACAGATTTTTCACGAGACTCCTTCAGTCCTAAAGCAACACCATTTCCACTCTTCACAGCTTTATCATCAACCCGGACAAAATTTTGATCCTTTGTATCCACACTCAAGCTACTTCTATTACTATTGCAACTCTGTAAAGTCCTATTACCATCAACTCCATCTGGGTTTTTCAGAACAGAGCTTAAGTTAGCTTCTCCATCACCACTTCCCAGAACCCTAAGCCTAACCCCATCTGAATTCTTCTCACTTGCAACCCATTTCAGTTCTTTTTCTCCACAAGTTCCATTCTTTTTATCCGAACTCAACCCAATTTTACCACTTTCTTTGATATCCCTCAAAACCCTAATCCCATTGGCGCCCACTTCACTCACCTTCACATCCAAATCCCTAAACCCTGTTCTCTGTTTCCCACTCGCTGATCCCCTAACCCTACTCAAACCCTTCTCTGTACTCGACACCGCCCTATCTCTCTCTCCGACAGAACTCAAAGTCGAACTGGAACCCCTTTCGGTCCGGCCCACCGAAGCCCTCCGTTCTTTACTAGAATGAGAAAATACCCGTATAAACTCAGAAGGGCTAGAGCTCCTACCTCTGGGCAAAGAAGACATGGACCACCGAGCACGCGCATCGCTGCCGCCGCCACTGGTCGCCGCCGTCACAGACGCCTTGTCGACACGTGGGACGGGCCGGATCGTGGGCTTCTGGGCCGATGATCGGAAAGTGGACCCAGGTAAAGGGTTCTCTTTTCCGGCGCTGGAGGACCTCTTGTGGGAGATGGGTATCGGCGTGAGGGGCTTGGATTGCTTCAGAGTGGAACCGGCTTTGGCTCCGATGGTACCTCCGGCTCCGCCTCGGTCTTTGAGCCGGCGAGCCGATGAGGCCGACATGGTAATTTGTCAGTAAATTAATTGATTATTAATAGATGAATCGGAAATGTTTAGGTAGAGGAGATGAGTTTTTTATGAGAGACTGGAAGATGAATGAATGGAAGTCTTTTGATCTAATTTGAGTTTCAAGTTTACTCGTTTCGATTCGAGTTTGGGCGGGAAATGAATTTTAGTTTTGAAATTTTGAAATTTTCGGTTTTTTGTTTTTTGTTTTTTTTTGGAAGGTCCTGGCCTTTGTTTGGAAGCGTTGGGCCTTGAAAGTTATATAGTAAATGGGCCTCAATGTGCAAAGAACAAAACAACGGTCCACCCAGCCATCTGCTCAGTGCACCCAGCACCTAAAAAATTTGCAGAACTTTCAAATTTACCCTTGAGTGCACTAAGAATTCAAGAAACAATAATTATGAAGTTTAAGAACAAAAGAAGGTAAACAATGGCTAGCGAGAATGAGGCTACACCTCCATCTCAAATGGGGGTGCAGCAGTCTCGCCAGTTATGGCAAACTTTTCATTTCTTTTATCTAAACGTTTAAGAAAATTAGCCATCCCAAAAAAGGGAGGTTAGCGACCTTACCGGCCACTGCTAGTTCCCGGAAGTTATGGTTATGTTTTTTCTTTTAAATTGTCAAATCATTGGTACATCGATGGACAAAGTTGAAACTCTGCATTTTTCATTTTTGGAGTGGTGGGTGCACTGATCAAATTAGCCAGATGCATATAGAACTTTCTTTGGGTATATTCTATGTGAACAAGTTTTAACATCAGTGTTTGGTAGTACTTAAAAGATTGTTTTTTGTTTAATTTTATAAAATCAGTTGGATTCATTACTATACAAAGAAGAATTTGGACCCCTTGCCAAATTGTAGGCCCAAACCTTCGAGTTTCATCCATTGCAATTGCGTTGAATAATTTACTTTGAAGATGATACAAACGCGCGCACTCTCACTAACCACCAATCCAATCACATCCTGACAAATAAAAACTCCAAACCAATAAACACCGTGAATACTGAAAAGACTCGAAATCAAAACCAAGACTTTAGCCATGGCCATGGCTTCTCTGAGCTGTCTTCCTCACTCTCTGCCCGTTGTCTCTCGTTCTTCACCTTCCTCTTCTTCTACAAAATATCTTATTCCGAGCAACCCTACCTACCCAAAACGTCTTCGTTTGGATTCGAGAAACAGCAATCACAGAAAAAGCTTTGCTCTGAGAGCGGCTTTGGAGGAGGTATCTGTTATTGACCCAGCTCCTCCTTCATCTTCTGGAAGTAAGGGCAAACCCAACCCTGAGCTCATAGCATCTTTGAAGCTCAAGTTATTGGTACGTTGTTCAAATTGCAAGATGCCCATTTGTGGTGAATTTAGCTTATTTTGCTCATGCTTTGGTATGCGTTTTTAAAGGTGCTTGATTTTGCTTTTGGGCTTACTGGGTACCTCTCTGTTGATTGCTTTATTGTATGCTTTATCCTTGTGTGTGTAGCTATGTTGATATAAACTATTTCAATTTGGTTGAAATACTTTGGCAGGCCTTTGTGATTCTGATTCAAAAACCCTGAGTTCATTCCCTGTGGGTGTTAATATAAGATCTTTTTGGACTGGATTGATTTTATGATTGGAGGACGCCAATTAAACTGTTTTGCGAGTTAAAACTGCTGGAACGAGGATATGAAGGCTGCTACTAGTGTCATAAGATTCAATAAGAGCTCTTGAAAAAGACTATTTTAAAATGCTTCAACAGATGCCATGCTTTCACCCCTATAAAAAGTAATAGACTTGATAGCCAACTAGTTTATCATACGCTTTAGGACACAAAAATAGAAGTTTTCCGTTGTTAGTTTTTGTTATAATCTTTCTTTCTGATGCATGCTTCAGTTCTTTGAACTCTTATAACTCATTACAAAAGAAGGTTCTTGAATCTTGATATGCTGGTTCATCAATATTTTCTATTCGTGGAGCATAATCAAACCATGCCCCTCAATTTACAGCTCCTTTTTTTTTATTTTACTAAAACTCCATTTTTAAACTTGTGGACAGAGCTCTGATTGTTGTCCCTTATAATGTGAATGTGCACATGTGGGCTTACGGTAGTTATGGACATTTTTCATATGTATTTAACTATTTATCCTGCTCTGTAATGGTTTTTTTTTAATGCGTGGATTATTCCGGTGCAGAGTGCTGTTTCTGGGCTAAATAGAGGTCTTGCAGCTTCTGAAGATGATCTACGAAAGGCAGATGCTGCTGCCAAGGAGATTGAAGCTGCTGGAGGTCCAGTGGATCTCTCAACTGATCTTGATAAACTGCAAGGGAGATGGAAACTGATATTTAGCAGCGCATTTTCTTCTCGTACTCTAGGTGGGAGCCGTCCTGGACCTCCCACTGGAAGGCTACTCCCAATTACTCTAGGCCAGGTATGCTATAAAAACTCTATAGTTTCACCCATTTGCATGTTTGTTAACTAAAAACACCTTTTGAAATGTTATTTATGAATTTCTAGTGACTTTACCTGAGCCTAAGGTCTCAAGACACCAACCTTGAATACATGACACTCAGTTTGGGTATAAAATCCACCACAAAGATGGATTCCATGCCGAATATTCAACAAAAGCATACTGCTGCAAAGTGACTACAAGACACAATGACTCGCATCAGAAGAAAGAAAAAAAAACAGAACAAGCGGCCAAAAGCACAACCACCAGAGCAGAAAAATATCGGAACAAACTCCAAACTTACAATTGATGAAAACGAAAACAGAGAACTATCATTTACCAAAAAGAACAAAAGCAGAGAACTATCTAAAAAGCTCCTTAACTTAGGGAACGCACATGCCCCAATACCCACAAAGTCTTTTGACCATTGAGTCTGCTAGACCTTTCCAGTTTACTCTGTTAGTTAAATCTTTCCGGTTTCCCAGGCCAAGTTAGTTTATTCTCCAGGTTTTCTGTATGCTAGAGGTTGTGGGGATCTGGTTTTCGTCTAGTTGTTATGTCTATGTTTTAGCTTTCTTAAAGTAACAGTTTTATGATATTGGTTCAACTTAGAAAACAATCTGACCTTGTTGAATACTCACTTATCATTTTCCTCCAAATGTAACACATGGTGTGTGAATAGGTATTTCAACGAATTGATATCTTCAGCAAAGACTTTGATAACATAGTGGAGCTTGTACTAGGTGCTCCATGGCCCCTGCCGCCTGTTGAAGCAACTGCCACATTAGCCCACAAATTTGAACTCATAGGTACTTATGAACTGTCTCTTGGTGTATTTTAGTTTACATGGTAAACCAATGAATAATCTTCCTAATAAAGTTCCCCGTCATAATGATTACAGGAGATGCAAGGGTTAAGATCGTATTTGAGAAAACTACCGTGAAGACAACAGGAAGCTTATCGCAACTTCCTCTATTGGAGTTACCTAAGTTACCAGACGGACTAAGACCTCCATCTAACCCAGGAAGTGGTGAGTTTGACGTTACTTACCTTGATGCTGACATCCGCATCACCAGAGGAGATAGAGACGAGCTGAGGGTTTTTGTGGTTTCATAGTCTCTTGGTAGTTTCTCTTTCAACTTCCACTGTATCACCAATTGTTTCGCCTCACGCATTTTTGGTGTCTTTTGATCTTATATCATTACTTTAGATTGTTGTATGCATGAACAGGTGGATGGAAGTTCCATGAAACAGTGTTCGACAAGGAACTACTGCTATATACTTGTAAATTTGTCATTGATAGGGTTGTAACTTTGTTATAAAAAGCTTATAAAAAAACTTTGTTGAAAAGTTAGATTTTCATATACAGAAAGGAATTTATACCCCCTCATTCTCATTGGTATTGAATACTGATATTATTCTTGCATGAAATCATTGGGTTTTTTTTTCTTATCAATCACGTGGCAATTGAGGAAGGAGAGTTGAAATTCAGATCTCCGTAGAAAATATGTGGTAATAAATTCGGCAAAATTTTAGGAAAGATTGAGAGATTTAATCAAGCCCAGTCTATAATACTACCTTCTTGTTTTTTGTCTTTTTTGACAAACGACAGATATTTTCTGATTATTTTAACAATGGAATAATTCTTCACAACAGAATTAAGAAACAACAATGAATCAGCGAGGAGTTATTAAAACCAAATGAGGGTTTTTCATACTTAAATGAACTTATGAAATCTTATCAAAAGAGTTACAACTATTAAAAAACAGTTATTTAAACTAATTCGAATTAATAAAAAATTATTAATCCGAAACTAAAAAAATAAATTAAATCTGAAGTGCTCAAGTGCTACCAAGGCCCATTTTTTTATGATTAAATATTATGTATTCTCTACATTGGGACAAAAGTCTTTGAATTTCATTCAAACTTCCACAAAATAGCAATAAACAAGCCTACATTTAGTTCTTCGTAAATTTAAAAACATTTCTAGCATTTCATGGAAGAATTTGTAAAAGATTTATGTAATGGCCCCCAAACTAAGCTATTCACACTCTTGGTCCTTCTAAAAATTGTTTTCTAGTGTCACCCTGCTATTTTTTTTTAAAAAAAAATTATGAAAGATTTCATTAATTTGATAAACTTGGAGTATTATCCAATGACAATGACGTAAGTCATGGAGGCTTTTCCTCTAACCAAAAGATTTTTTGATCTAATAACAAGGCATGCCTAGCAAGACAGTGAGCCACCTTATTATATTCTATGGGGCTATATCACCATCTCACTAGAGAGAAAGAATGTGTGACGCACTTAGCTTCTTAAAAAAGGTGACCTTCCACACACGCAAATCCTCCTCATCTTTCTCAATAGCAGTAATAATATATTGTGCATTCCCTTCGACTTCAATAGTACCGACAAAATTTCGGCGAGAAATATTTATTGCGACACATATTTGTAGGGATAGGTTTATCCCATTGAAGTTCACTGGGATAGGTCTATCCCGTTAAAGTTCATCGGGCTCGGTCTATCCTGATAAAATTCGCCAAGCCAGGTCTAGGTTAGGTTTGGTTACATCATACTAACCCAAGATTGAGAGCGAAACCTAAATCGTAAAGCCTTAGATCGACTTACGTGATTATCCAAGCCAAATCGAGACCTAAGTGCCCTACAGTAGGTATACACTTAGGGTTCGAGGCTTGCAAACGGTTTTGGAACAAGTTCGGATAAGTTTGAAAGCTACGGTTTTTTGTTTGAGACGTGGATTTAGGGTTTGGAGATTAAAATTCCATTTTTAGAATACTAAAATAATTTTATAGAATTTTTGAATAATTAAAACTATTTTTAAAATAATTTTAAATTCCACAAAATTATTTAAGATAATTAAATACAATTAATTAGTATTTATTAAATAATTTTTATGAAATTAATTAAAATAAGTTTTACTTTTCCAGAGTTATTACCTGTATAAAGAATTTAGCATTTTCCCCAATTGATACTCGTATTATACACATACGTACGTGTTTTTCAATAATACTTCCGTTTTTCATATACGTCTTAAAGACTAGGCATAATGAAGGCAAACGTATAATACACGCACTGTACGCATACGCACATATTTTAATGATTGTTCAATGTCAAAGAACCAAAACCAAAGTCCACAAAATAATTCAAAACAATTAATTACTATTTACCAAGTAATTTACGAAATCAGTAAAATATTTAAATATTCACTAAAGAAATAATAATTACTAATTAAAGTAATTAAAAAAAGGCTAAGGTATTACTTAATTACATGTATTAAATTAAAGGAGTTGGCCAAAATACAAGAGTGCAGAATATAATTTTATATTTAAAAAAATTTCAAATATAAAAATTAAAAAATTAAAAATTAAAACAGTATAGCCGCACGGCTATACCGTTAAAACAATCAATTTGCTGATCCTGACCATGAAATAGTATAGCCGAGCGGCGGTACTCCTCAAATAGAATATTTGAACAGTATATCCGTACGGCCATACACCAAAATAGAATATTTTAAAGTATAGCCACCCGGCTATAACCTGTGAATAGCAAACTAAGAAAATAAATATAAACTTATTATCCTTAGGTCAACAAAATTCTTAAAAACTAATTATTCGCAAAGTAAACTATAATTAAAAAAAATGTAATAATTAAAGTGATTAAAATAGACAAATTCATATTATGGTATTTATAAAACTAGTCAAGAGTGTTATCCATTACGTTTAGGCCATTACCAAGGTATAGCAATTGTTCCTTTTTAATTTTTTTTACTTTTCCAGAGTTATTACCCGAATAAAGAATTTAGCATGTTCCCCATTTGATACACGTGCGTACGTAATTTTCATTAATACTTCCGTTTTCCGTATATATCTTAAAGACTCGATATAATGAAGGCAAACATATAATACACGTATTGTACGCGTACACACGTATTTTAATGATTGTTCAATATCAAAGAACCATAAACAAAGTCCACAAAAGAATTCAAAACAATTAATTACTATTTACCAAGTAATTTACGAAATCAGTAAAATATTTAAATATTCTCTAAAGAAATAATAATTACTAATTAAAGTAATTAAAAAAAGGCTAAGGTATTAATTAATTACATGTATTAAATTAAAGGAGTTGGCCAAAATACAAAAGTGAAGAATATAATTTTATATTTTTAAAATTTTCCAATATAAATAAATAAATAAATAAAAATAGTATAGCCGAACGGCTATACCGTTAAAACATTCAATTTGCCGTTCCTGACCATGGAATAGTATAGCCGCGCGGCTGTACTCATCTAATAGAACATTTGAACAGTATCGCTGTACGGCTATACTCCAGAACAGAATATTTTAAAGTATGGCCGCCCAGCTATACCCTGTGAACAGCAAACTAAGAGAATAAATATAAACTTATTATCTTTAGCACAAATATGCAAAAGTAAAAAATATTATGGTATTTATAAACTAAGAGAACAAATATGCAAAAGTTAAAAATATAATTTTCATTTAGGTGTCTAAATTAAATTTTCTCATAGCCCAAGAGACCAATGGCCCAAGGCCCAAGTCTATGATTAATATAATTATTATTAAGGAAAGCCGAATCCAAAGCTTGGGCTATAGCCTAATCCATTAGCCCAACTCTCCAATATTAACCACACTTACAAAACGATAATAGTGCTTTGTTTATAAACACATTTATAAGAGTGTGGATTTTCGATATGAGATTTTCACAAAGGGCACCTCAAAAGATAACATATTATGGTCAAAGTTAAACCTTAGAAATTTTATATTATGCTGTCACTTTTAATATTGTAGCTGGGAAACTTGTATCTCTTTGGGGCCAAAATGAAGAAGAAGAAAACAATGACGAAGAAAATGTTCCCAAAAAGAACTCACGTTACGAAATCTACTTTCTGAAAGGTACGGGTTTGCCCAATGTGAAATGACTTGACCCACCTTTCACAAGTCAATTTTTGAAAGGACAAAAAGAAAAAAAATATGAAAAAAGAAGAAGAAACAAAATAAGAAAACTAGACGTTACAAATCATAACGGCTAGATTTTTGTTTCAAAGTTTGAATAGAATTCTGAGAGCCCTCATTTTGAAACTTCATTCCTTTTGTCTTCGTTTCCTTTCCAAGACTCTTCCATTTTTATCTCTCTCTCTCTCTCTCATCGCCCCCATCTTCAAGATCTGTCTGCAACTGATCTTGAATCTTTAATTGTAGTAATGGCTCCAACGCCTTCTTCTTCCAAATCCAATCACAGCCACACATCTCTGATGAAGACCCCACAATCCAAGCAGCGTCTCCAGTTCTTGAAAGCACACCCATCTCCAAACCCTAACTCTGCCGCAAAAGAACCACCCGCAGAGCACCCAGTTGAAGTCCTAGCCCGAATCCGAGATTACCCAGATCGAAAAGAACCACAACCAACATCGGTTCTTCAGATCAATCCTCAAAAGCAGAGTATTCGTGTCCGTGCTGATTTTGGGTACCGAGATTTCGCTCTCGACGGGGTTTCTTTATCGGAAGAAGACGATTTGGGGTCGTTTTACAGCAAGTTTGTTCAGTCCAGGATTGACAGTGTGAAATTGGGTGAAAAATGTACAATAATGATGTACGGTCCTACTGGTTCAGGCAAGAGTCACACCATGTTTGGGTGTTGCAAGCAACCTGGGATTGTGTACAGGTCGCTGAAAGACATTCTTGGCGATGGTGGAGAAGATGATTGTGCGGGTTCTATGGCTGGGGCCTTTGTGCAGGTCACTGTTTTGGAGATTTATAATGAGGAGATTTATGATTTATTGTCAACCAATGGTGGCGGAGGATTCGGCTTTGGATGGTCAAAGGGCAACGGCTCCAATTCTAAGGTGATAACATTAACTGGGTCTCTTTCTTTTTATTTATTGAACTCTTGATGATTTATGAGTTTTTTTTAATTGTTCTTTGTGTTTAGAACTGTAAGCCTGGGTTTTCTGTGCAAGTTTCGATTTTTAGATTTGGTTGTGTGTGGCTCACTGATGATTTTGGTAAAGTTAATTGTGTTGGCTCAAATTAGAGAGAAGTATAATTTCTGACTGTTTCCTTTTTTTTTTGAGAGTACAGCTCTTGTGATGATGATGAGTTTTCTGTTCAAGTCTGGATATTTGGATATGGTTGTGTAGGCTAAAATTAGAGGGAATGGCTCCAATTCTAATATGATTACATTAACTGGGTCTCTTTTCTTTGACTGAATTCTTAATTATTTATGAGTTTTCTGTCAAATGTTTTTTGTGTTTAGAACTGTAAGGTTGTGTTGGCTCAAATTGGAGAGAAGTAAAATTTCTGACTGTTTTCATTTTTTTGAGAGTACAGCACTTGTGATGATGATGAGTTTTCTGTTCAAGTCTGGATATTTGGATATGGTTGTGTAGGCTAAAATTAGAGGGAATGGCTCCAATTCTAAGATGATTACATTAACTGGGTCTCTTTTCTTTGACTGAATTCTTAATTATTTATGAGTTTTCTGTCAAATGTTTTTTGTGTTTAGAACTGTAAGGTTGTGTTGGCTCAAATTGGAGAGAAGTAAAATTTCTGACTGTTTTCATTTTTTTGAGAGTACAGCACTTGTAATGATGATGAGTTTTCTGTTCAAGTCTGGATATTTGGATATGGTTGTGTAGGCTAAAATTAGAGGGAATGGCTCCAATTCTAAGATGATTACATTAACTGGGTCTCTTTTCTTTGACTGAATTCTTAATTATTTATGAGTTTTCTGTCAAATGTTTTTTGTGTTTAGAACTGTAAGTTTGGATATGGAAATGGGTTTTCTGTGCAAGCTTGAATTTGTAGATTTGGTTGTGTACCCTGTAAATTTGGTTGAGTTGGTTGTGTTGGCTCCCTGTAAATTTGGTTGAGTCGGTTGTGTTGGTTTAAATTAGAGAGAACTCGTTATAAAAATCTCAAGACTCTAAATTTTTGAAGGAGCATCTCTTGTGATGATGATGATAAAGGTTAGTATGAGGGATGTGGCTTAATCTCATAAATCATAAAGGGGAATATTCTTTTTGCTGCTCTTTTCTGCACTAATACTTGTACCTGCAGGTTAGGCTTGAAGTGATGGGAAAGAAGGCAAAGAATGCAACCTACATTTCTGGAAATGAGGCTGGGAAAATTTCCAAAGAAATTCAGAAAGTGGAGAAGAGAAGGATTGTTAAGAGTACTCTTTGCAATGAAAGAAGTTCTCGGAGCCATTGCATGGTAGGATTCCCTTGGACTTTCAAATATGATAGTTCTTCCCCAAGTCTTGGCACTAGTTCGATATAACTTGCTTTCTATTTCTGCACAGATAATCCTTGATGTCCCAACAGTAGGAGGACGCCTGATGCTTGTGGACATGGCTGGCTCTGAAAATATTGAGCAAGCTGGCCAAATTGGATTTGAGGCAAAAATGCAGGTAATGTCTTGGTGGTGCTTAATTTATGCTGATACTGTATGCAGCACTTTCATTGTCATTGTAACAAATGTTAAATTATGGTTATATTGAATTCACAGACTGCAAAGATCAACCAAGGAAACATTGCTCTCAAAAGAGTGGTTGAATCCATTGCCAATGGTGATTCTCATGTGCCTTTCAGAGACAGCAAACTGACCATGCTTCTACAGGTAACTTTTATTCACAATAATGTCAGTTACTAAGGATTATATGGTGCCCTGCCCTCTAACCTTGTATGTGAATGACAGTTCTCATGTTCTTTTTGTGCAGGATTCTTTCGAAGATGATAAAACAAAAATTTTAATGGTACTGTGTGCAAGCCCAGACCCAAAGGAAATACACAAGACAATCTCCACCCTTGAATATGGTGCAAAAGCAAAATGTATTGTCCGTGGCCCTCATACACCAATCAAGGATAAAATTGGGACTGAAGATTCATCTGCTGTTATTTTAGGATCAAGGATTGCTGCCATGGATGAATTCATCCTTAAACTGCAAAGAGAAAATAAGCTCAAAGAGAAAGAGCGAAATGAAGCACACAGGGAGTTACAGAAGAAAGAAGAAGAGGTTGCTGCACTGAGAGCTAAACTTGAGCTTATGGAAGGGACGGGATCTGGGAAACAGGAGGAAGAAATCAACTTGAAGGTGACTGAAGTGGCCCAGACTCTGAAACGTGAGTTGGAAAAGAAGTTGGAGGAATGCCAGCGTATGGCAAATGAGTTTGTTGAATTGGAGAGGAGGAGAATGGAAGAAAAGATATTGCAGCAGCAGCAGGAAGTTGAAATGCTGAGGCGGCGGTTGGAGGAAATTGAGCTTGAGCTATGCCGCTCAGGTGATGGAAATGGTAAGGAGAGTGGGACAAAGGACCATGATGGAACCCAGTTTGCCAAAAGGTTGTTAGGGATCTATGCCAGTGATGATGCAGGAGGAATGGTAAAGTCAATGGATTTGGACATGGATGATCAAGAACCTTTTGCCCGTGAGGTGAAATATGTAGGTGGGGTTGCTTATCAATCTGACAGCAGTATTGTAAATGCTGTAAACATTGATTCTTTTGAACCAAAATATGCTGATAGGGTATGCCTAAGCACTGTTTTTGAGGAAGAAGAAATGGAAGAAGAGGAAGGACTTAAGGAAAATGTGGAAGCTGAAGAAGTGGAGAAAGAAGTTATAGAGGAAAAAAGAGTGTGCATGGTTGATGGGTCTAGCCTCCAGAGTAATTATAATATGGGATCCCTGACATCTTTACCTAAGGATTATCAACATACACCAACTGTGAATCGGCCAAGCAGAAATCCAGGGGAAGAAGATGGCAAGGGGGGACCAGATGATAGGCTTGTCAGGATCCGCAACATATTTACACTATGTGGAAACTACAGAGAGCTCTCTCAACATGTGACAAGTCCAGCACCTACTGTTGCATCAGTTAAATCAGAAAATGAGCAGAAACTGACAGAAGAGATGAACAAAAGTCGAGTATGTGATGAGATGGCATTGGCTTCCAAGGAGAACTACAACCCTTCAGATGTGGTCACTGATGCAGATACTGAAGTGTATGTGAAATGGGAGGCTTCAAAAGAGAATCCAGGGAAGTTCATTACAACACTCAAGGTTGTAAAAGATGCAAGCCTTGCTGACCTGCGAAAGTTGATTGAAATTTATCTTGGTGCAGACAATCAAGCATTCACTTTTCTCATGCTTGGGGTATGCCATTTCTGAATTCTCTAGCTTGTTATGTCTTAAAAAATGGAAAACTTTACTAAGACAATCATGCTAACATGGTTGTTTTTATTGACAAAAAAGTTCTTATAAATCAAGAAATATAGTGCATCTCTGTGATTTAGAAACACTTGATTCAAACTTCTATTGTGTATATATGCAGGACCCCACTGGAGCTTCAGTACCAAAGGAGAAGGAAGCAACAATTCAGGCCACTAAGCTTCCTCTATGCAACAATAAATCAAATGGCTACCTTGCTAGCTTGAGACCACTGAAGGGAATGCAAAGCCCAAGTCAGCTCCCTTTAAGTCCTCTTCCATTGAAATCACTGGAAAATAGACTACCACTCACCCCAAGTTCCTGCTTCTCTGTCCAAGGTGATTGTATGACACCCAAAGTAGCACCAAACTTAGGTTCTACTCCTTATATTACTGTCAGGAGACATTAGTGGCTCTGATTGTGTTGGTTGTAAGAAGTGCACTTAGACACTGCAACTTTTGTAATGAAAACTCCTGTGTCATACTCAGACAGTGCAACTTTCAACCCTATTTTGGTTGTTTAACACCCAAAAAGTAGGATCAAACTTGTGTATTGAAAGTGCACTATATATAAATATGTTTCTTTTGATTGTGCCTCGTGTTTGTGTCCCTCTAATTTCTTTTGGTATATGTGCCAATATGGTTATGCACTGTACATCTTATGAAAGTTAGTGAACTGAAAAGATCACGTATTACAGTGCTAACCCAATATTTTGAGACAGTGCAATGCAAGTCATCCGTTAATTTATGAGTGAGAACACCAAATTTGCATCACATGGACAAATAAAAATCCTAACAAAATTCAGCTGCAATTTACAAATGTTTTAACCAAAAAAGAAAAAGAAAAAAAAGAAAAAAACATAACTAAATAAATAAATTGAAAATCATTTTTTTTAAAAATGGGATTTTGTTAGATTGATTGTGTTGGCGTGACTTGTGGACCATTGACTTTATTTCCTTACACACCAAGGATTCTCATTATAATTGTATTTGATTTACTTTAATTTCTGATTTCTTGCTGTAAATAGAATATGAATTTATTATTTACTTAGATAGGAATACACATAAAATTTCTACAAACAAATATTCTCTCATAGTTCTCATATTTTAACATTGTATCAGAGCGACGATCTTGGAATTGCTGACTCTAGTTTCAAACCTCTGTCGCCCTTATGGGGGTTGATGATTTTTTCAACCCTCATGGAGGTAGCATCGCTGACTTCTTCTCTCCTTGTCAATCAACCATAGCCGAGTTGAGTGCCCAGGTGGCTCAGCTCCGACATATGCAGATTTTGACCCTGAACCCAATTTTGAATAAGTATCTTATTTTGATGACCTTGAACCCGATGTTGAATCAGGATCATTTTTTGACGACCTCGACCCCGGCCCCGACTATGACGATGACCTCAACCTTGACCCCGAATCTGTCTCTAATTCAGACCCAGATCCCGACTTCGACTTCGACTCCGACTCCAACCCTGACTCACGCTCATATCGTGATCCTGATCAAGATTCCTACTAAACTTGTATCCTATGCATCTTCCACTGAATAGATTATGACTTCTTGACTAACAACCTCGACACATGGACGAGATTGCGCATACTGTGGTGATCCGAGACACACTCGTGAAACTTGTTTTAAATTGCATGGCTACTCCGAATGGTAGGCTACTCTCAAACATCGAACACAATGTGATACGACCAGTAATGGTATTGGTTATGGATTCCATACTTCGGATAAGAGTGATTCCATGAGCTAGATAATTCATTCCGGTGCAACTGATCATATAATATTTGATCTTGATGATTTTCTGAATACTACCTAACCCCCAACGAACTTGTATTGCTAAGGCCAATAGAGTTACTTATCTTGTGACAGAGGCTGACACTGTTGCACTTTCATCCTCTCTCTCACTATCTAATACTTGTTCCATTTTTATACAATAAATTGATATTCGTTAGTCAGCTTGCTAAACAATTGAATTGTTGTGTACTCATTTACCCGATTTTTTTATTTACTTCAGGATATTCACACTAAGGAGATTCTTGGTCGTGGTACTAAGAGATAGGGTCTCTATTATGTAGATGACTTCAATCCCGATATGGCTAACAATGTGACACATCTTTCTGATAGTAAATAAAAGCCAATCTGGTTGTGGCACCGTCGATTGGGACATCCGACTTTTAGTTATCTGAACTATCTTATACAAGATTTATTCTCAGGTTTCAAGGACTCCGACTTCAAATGTGATTATTGTATTTTGTTCAAGAGTCACCATGTGCCATATCCGTTGAGTATCAACAAGTGTACTACTCCATTTACGTTAATTCACTATGATGTCTGGGGACCTTCACCTATCACTGCTCCTTTTGGCGTTCGGTGGTTTGTCACATTTGTAGATGATTGCACACAGATGACATGGTTTTATTTGCTGAAGAATAAAAAGGAAATATTTTCTTGTTTTTCAATTCTTACACAAACATATGAATACTCAGTTCAATGCTCAAATACAGATTCTTTGTTCAAACAATGGTGGAGAATTGGTCAATCATGACTTTCAGGCTTACTTCCAACAACATGGAATTATCCATGAGACGACTTGTCCTCAGACACCACAACAAAATGGTGTTGCTAAACGAAAGAATCAACATCTTCTTGAAACAGCCCGAGCACTTTTGATTGGCATTCATGTTCCTTGTCATTACTAGGATGATGTTATTGTCATTGTAATTCACATGATCAACCACATGCCTTCTGGTGTATTAAACTTTAAAACTCCCTTACAAGTGCTTGCGCAACACGGGTCCCTGCCCTCTGCTTGGTACTCACACCCTGAATATTTGGATGTGTGACCTTCATTCATCTCCACAAAAATCAACTTAGAAACTTGATCCATATACTTCATTGTGTTTTCGTGGGTTATGTCACTCATCATAAAGGCTAACGATGTTATCACCTTTTTACTCGACATACCTATGTCACTTTGGATGTGAATTTTTTGGAATTTGAGATGTTCTTTCATGACCCAGCATCCAATTCTACGCTTCATAGGGAGATACAAAGTGAAAAGCAGAATTGGAGTAACTTGGAAAACGAAGAAATTCACCTATGTACAGAAGCAATCGATCATCCTGCCTCTGATGATCAATGGCCCCAAGGTCTAGAGCATGAAATTGCTCTCCGCCAAGAAACGATTGATCGTCTAAACTCGATGATAAATAGTCTAGAGTTTGGAGCACGAGATTGTTCTTTACCGAAGAGCAATCAATCGCTCATTCATAGCGATGGATCGCCTGACCCGCATGACCCTTGCGATGATGTTTCTGATCCAAGTCCCACACATACAGACAATATAGAACAACGAGATGAAAACCCTATATCTAATTCAACAGTACCAACAGACCAATCTTCTGAGAATATCCTTGAGGTAACTACTCCTACTAAACTTGTGAATTTATATGATAAATATATTGGATACCAATTACCTTTCATGCAAAATCTTGGGTAGCCACCAAATTGTTCACCTAATATTGGCAAGACATCAAAGTATCCAATTGCGAATCATGTATCCACTAAGAAGTTGTCTGAATCCCTCAAGGCATTTGTGCATCAGTTGTCTGCTATTTATATCCCAACCAAGGTTGCTAAAGCATTGAAAGATCCTAAGTGGGTTCAAGCTATAAAGGAAGAGATGAAAGCTCTTGAGAAGAATCAGACTTGGACACTGAAAACTTTACCATAAGGAAAAATGATTGTCGGATGTAGATGGGTATTTACCATAAAACACAACGCAAGACTTGTGGTGATAGGGTACACACAGACTTATGGTGTAGATTATGAAGGAACCTTTGCACTAGTTGCAAAATTGAACACAGTCAGAGTCTTACTGTTCCTCGCAGCTAATTTGGACTGGCCACTACACCAGTTTGATGTAAAGAATGTTTTCCTACATGTAGAACTCACAGAGGAGGTGTATATGGACATTCCTCCTGGATATAATACTACTTAGATTGTAACAATATGCAAATTACGAAAGGCGTTGTATGGATGGAAACAGTCACCACATGCATGATTTGAGCAGTTCACCATGGCAATGAAGAACAATGGTTTCAGACAGAGTAACTCAGATCATACTTTGTTCTTGAAACATCAGAAAGGGAAGGTAACATCTTTAATAATCTATGTTGACGATATGATTATTATTGGGAATGATAAATATGAAGTATCTTAGCTACAAGACTATTTGGCCACTGAATTTGAGATAAAGAATCTAGGTGGACTCAAATATTTATTAGGAATTAAGGTGGCCTTATCACAACAAGACATATTTCTCTTTAAAAGGAAATATGTCTTGGACTTGTTGATAGACACAGGAATGTTAGATTGCAAATCTGTAGACACTCCTATTGTTCAAAATCATCATCTTGGAGAATACCCAGATCAAGTTACAACTAACAAAGAAAGATACCAAAGGTTAGTGGGAAGATTGATCTACTTGTCTTATACTTAACCAGACATTACTTATGCGGTAAGTGTCATCAGTCAATTTATGCATTCTTCGGATACTTAGATATTTGAAGTTTGAACCCGGAAAAGGACTTATGTTCTCAATACATGGTTATCTAAATATTGATGGTTATTCAAATGCAGATTAGGCAGGCAATGTAACAGATAGAAGATTGACATCGGGTTACTTCACATTTGTGGGAGGTAATTTTGTGACTTGGAGAAGCAAGAAACAAAAGGTAGTCTATTTATCCAGTGCAGAAGCCTAGTTCAGAGGTATGATTACAGGAATTTGTGAGCTCCTTTGGTTAAGTAAGTTGCTTGCTGAACTTGAGTATAAAGAAAAATATACTAAAAATTACAATCCTTACATTAGGGTTTAGGTAGTCTAATGTCTAGTTACAACAGTTGCCAACCCCTGGTCAATCTCAAAGGCATGCTCCTGCTTGGCGCCCCTTTGTTGCCTCCTCCTCCACTCTAGAACGAGACCTAGAGTTAGAAAAAGCCATGATTGACTTCAAACTTGACTCCCTGAGAAAATCCTCTCAGGTAAACCAACCTTGTTATGGCAAGGTACCAGTCCAAGATGACAAGTCCGATTCACCTGAGTCACCTACACAATCTGACTTCTTAGTTGAAAATTTTGCAGCAGTTGATAATCAACTTAGAACCCTCAATAAAAATTTTTTCAATAATACTTTCGTTTTTCCGTACACTCTTAAAGACTCGGTAAAATACATATTTTTCAAAAAAGCAAACATACAATACACATACATATATATTATTCATGTTTAATACACGTGTTTTTTTACAAAATTTTCAATAATACATAAAATTTTCACATATTATTGAATAAAAATATTAAATATTAAAATGTTATATAATGGCCGAATTTTTCAGTTGTAACTTGCTAAAAAATTTCCGAATAAATCACGTATGTATTTTTCCCGTTCCGTATTTTACCATCTATGAAAGAATGTGAGAGGCAAAGATTATTTCTTGTTGTAACAAAAATGCAGGATGGTGAACTTTCGAAATCTCTTTGCCAACCAGAACAACAATTTCAAACAAAGATGTATGAGTATAGTAGTAAGAGGTGGTAGTATTCTTTATTTATTTATTAATAAATAGAACAAGAGATTAGGCAAGATTAGCTCTTCAGTATCGGTCATTGAATGCACAAACATCCACAACCCTCAAAGAAGATACCAAGGCATTCTGGGGGCCCCCCGCCCATCCCCTTGATCATAATTTTATTAATATAAAAGAAACATATAAAGAAAAAAAGAACAGCAGGGGGCCAAATTGCAGAAAAGAAAGACAGTGACATAAAGTCGCATCAACATGCGGACCCAAGAAGGCAAAACTCTGAAAGAGTAAACAAAAAAAGACTAGGTAAGACGGTAATTGGGCATGCCCAGCTAGTCCCAATGACGAAGACAAAATAAATGAAGGTGCAGTGTCCTACCATGTGAAACCAGAGCCCTGAACACCGTGATTTGCCAAAGCGTCAACTCTATGATTACCCTCACGAAATATATGAGAAATCTTAAACTTAAACTCCAATTCCTTGACTTTCCCATAATCGAAAATATCATTTTGATATTCCGCTCGAAGCTCAAGCCTTAACTCATCAATGCACAACTGCGAATTTTTCCACTCTCGTCGCTTCCAATCCAGCAAACCTCTCCTAACCCAAGTTAATTTCTGCATGAGATCTGATAGTTACCCAGACTGCACCCTCGCCTTACCCAACGCTCAAACACCACTGCCCTACAACCTCATGCCTCCCCCATCGCGGATCATATGCAAAATGCCCTTTCTTCCTCCTCTTGGTCTCATGTGTATCGAGACAAAACATAACATGATAAGACCCTTCAACCACCCAATGGAATTTTTTTGCGGTGGGCTAAAATCGTAGCCAATTATCATCGGCAAACCCCCTGTCCAGCCGTTCTTGTATTCCTTCCTCTTGTCGTCTATTACGCCAAGTAAATGGATATCCAACAAAACCTAAATCAGACAAATCCGTCACAAATGACTGGAAATCCAACATACTCCTTTCAGACCGAGAGTTTCCTCCTTGCTTCTCGGCTCTATCTAAAAAATCATTAAAATCCTCCATTACCATAACAGCCTCCTGACATGTAAGAATTCGAGTTCGTAAAGCCTGCCATTGGTTCCTCCTGATTCGGTCATCTGTACTAGCATATACACCAAAAAATCTCCAAACACACCCCTTCTCAACATCCTTAATCCCAACCTCAATAAAAAATAAAAAAAAATCTGCATATTTAACAAGAGACACATGTTGAACTTCCTTCCAAAAACACATAGACCCCCACTTAAGCCATGTACCTCCATCGCATGCATAAATGGCATTCCCAGTACCCTCTTTAGAAAAAACATAGCGACTACTCCTAGTTTTAGTTTCTAGCAACATCACCATGTCGGGAGTGTGGAGCTTTACTTTCTCCATAAGGCTAGAAACTGTCAGATTACCCCCAATACCCTGACAATTCTATATGAGGATCCTCATAACTCTCGCCCAGACCGGTCTGCGTAGGTTTATGCCTCTTGCAGCAGATCAACTGTTAACATTTGATGTCTTCGAGCCTTCTTTCCCCCTCCCCCATATGTCAGAGAACACAGCTCAAGAGTTGGCGGGATTCTCTCCTCTCCCGGACAACCATCATTGTCTTCACCACCTCTGTTCGTCTTTTTGTACTCGTGACTCGTCCCCTCAATTATCAGCCCAAGATTAAAAGAGTCCGAGCTTTGAGTTAACAGACCCAAACCAATTCTCAACCCCTGCCCCTGTGCAGACAAACCATCATCCTATGGTACTTTTTCGAACTGAGTAACACCAAAATTTAAGTCAATCAGGTTCCCATCCTCCTCAGATACCCGTACCCTGTCTGAGGGATCCCCACCCTCCTCCTCTTGCATATACTGATTTGTAGAAGAATCCCCCTGTGTAGGCCCCCGAATTCCTTCCATGTGGCCCCAACAGACCTACTTCCCAGGCTTCTTCTTGTATACGTCGTTCACGCTCTTGTTCTTCTCGACAGAGACGTATGCTCTCCGTTAAAGAATGCGAATGAGAAGCCTATTTGTTAGGGAAGGTAGCAGTGTGTCTTCCATCTCCACCCTCTAGACATATATGCACCACCCACATCCCGCCAACACCCTACCTGTTGCAGATGTCGAGGCTCTCCCAAGCGACTAGAGCGCTCATGACGCCATCTACCCCCCGAACGGCTATACTATTTATTTTTTCGCATCAAATGGCATTCATTTTCTCTTGAAATGGCCACAGGGACCTTAATTCTAGTTGAGTGGTAAATAATGACATGGTTTATAATTCTTTCCTATTAGATTTCTCCTCTCTTTCCTTTCGAAATTGAAATCGGAGCGATAGTTGGTCGTTTGATTATGATGATATTGATTGAATGTAGGCAACTACCAAGGTTCACCCTAATTTATGGAAACCAAGGAGGTTAGAGCTGATGAACAATGACCTTCCCAGCACCAACCCTGAAGACTCTATGTCCTGCTTTGATTTGTCCAAGAATGATTCATATCTCATGTCAGCAACAGGAGGGATGCTCTCCGTTTTTGACATGACAACATTTATTTTTTTTTTTTTTTTTTTTTTTTTTTTTTTTTTTTTTTTTTTTTTTTTTTTTTTTTTTTTTTTTTTTTTTTTTTTTTTTTTTTTTTTTTTTTTTTTTTTTTTTTTTTTTTTTTTTTTTTTTTTTTTTTTTTTTTTTTTTTTTTTTTTTTTTTTTTTTTTTTTTTTTTTTTTTTTTTTTTTTTTTTTTTTTTTTTTTTTTTTTTTTTTTTTTTTTTTTTTTTTTTTTTTTTTTTTTTTTTTTTTTTTTTTTTTTTTTTTTTTTTTTTTTTTTTTTTTTTTTTTTTTTTTTTTTTTTTTTTTTTTTTTTTTTTTTTTTTTTTTTTTTTTTTTTTTTTTTTTTTTTTTTTTTTTTTTTTTTTTTTTTTTTTTTTTTTTTTTTTTTTTTTTTTTTGCCAAGGTGTTTACACCATAATCAACCGAGCATATCCAGTCTCAAAACAACTAGCACCAAGGCAGACACGCCTTCTCTCCTACCGAAGGAAGACACTCTTCCGAGATGCCAAGCACCTGCCGAAACTCCCGACTGCCAAAGCTCACAAACTGTTAAAACCTAATTCTCATGACACGTGTCACCACCGCGGCGACTTGCACAGAGTCCCACATCGGAAATCTACACCAACCTCCCACTTTCACTTCCCTATAAAAAGGGAACAGTACCCTAGTAAGAGGGGTAACTACTTTTTCTGCCTTTTACTATTACTCTGCAAAAGTTACCATTCTTAGCTGACTTAAGCATCGGAGAGCCTTCGGCCGGCACCACACCGGTGCCCGGAGCTTGACGACTGCTTCCCCTATTTTTGTCTTCTGCAGGCTAGCCTTTATTGAAGGCCCAGACCCTTTCCCTGCTGAAGGCAAACCCCTTTTTCTCTAAGTTGACCCTCTCCGAAAAAGAGCATCAACAGTTTGGCGCCGTCTGTGGGAAACGATACTTGAATCCCATTTTTTCTCTACCAGCCCAGCTGGCTCCTTCTCCTATCCGGCCCCGTCGCCTCTTCTTCACTCCACACTCAGCTATGCCTACTGAGGATAGCCAGGGGACTCAGCACCATATCCCCCATGGGGGTACCTCCCAGAGAAGACCTTCAGCAGATGCCAATCTCCAGGCAGAACTGGAGAGCCTCCGCGCCAGTGTCACCAAGATGTCTGAGAAATATGACAATCTTCATGCTAAGAACGTCGAGCTCGAGCATGACTACCGCACACTGAAGCGTAACTGGGAGATGAATCAGACCCAAGGCTCCCAACACAGCCCTACCCAGGTACCTGAGCGTACACAGCCAAACCAGCCGGAGCACTCCCACCACAATGTCCCAACCCAGCCTAGGCCCAGCAAGGGTAAAGGCCCCCTCTATCCGGACACGACCAAGTCGCGGCTTCTCCGCATCTCCCCACCAAGGAACCGGCCTCATGAACCAACAAAGGTCTACCGGGATTGCAGGGACCGTATCCTGGACCGTCAAACGGAACCCCATCTTATCTCTGTTAATCTCCAAGACCCAAAGATGAAACACCTGGGCCCCCCGCCAAAGCCTACCCAACTACCCCTTGAAGAAGGTATAGGGGACTCAGAGAACTGGGGCCAGGGTTACTCAGAAAACTACGAGTCTTATCACACCGAGGCGTTCGAAGAATTCTACCCAGCCCATGGCCACCCACACACCAGACCCCCAGCACCCGAGACTCTCCCTCATACCGACCCGGCAATGAGGCTTCTCTTCGAGAAAGTCCGGCGCCTGGAGAGCGAACATCAGCGCAACCACCAACCTCTCTGGGCAAAGCCACGACCTGGGCCCTTTACCGAACACATCCTTAATTACCACCAGGAGAAGGACATCCAGCCACTCCGCATTGCCTTCTACACTGGCACAGAGGATCCTCTCACCCACATACATTCTTTCCAGTCTGCCTTGGGGTGCAAGGGCCTCACTGACGAAGGCATGTGTCTCCTCTTCCCTTCCACTCTCAGTGGCGCGGCCCTGAACTGGTTTTACAGGCTGAACCCCCGCACTATCAATACATTTGACAGTCTGAAACAGGCTTTCCTGGACCATTTCATGATCCAGACCGATCGCCTCTACTCCGCGGACGACCTATACATGCTTAGACAGGGTGAGGATGAGCCCCTTCGGGAGTATGCAGCCAGGTTCAGCCACGAATACTCCCGCTGCCCAGATACTGATGATCGTGCCGCTTTCGGTGCTTTCAAGAGTGGCCTCCGAGAGTCTAACTTCCGGTACCTGGTCCACAGCAACCCTTGGAACACATATGCCGAGCTGATGAAGCAAGCAGCAGTTCATGCCAAGGCTGAGTACTTCAACTCCAAGCGCAGCCCAGCCATCCCGGCGCATAATCCTTTTGCTGATCCTCCACCTGCTTCGGTACCCATCCCAGCTCCACCCCAACATTCTGCCCCTGCACCAAGCACCCAGGGTGCCCAACACCCCAAGAGGAAGGATAGCTACCAGCATACCTTCAACAATAACAAGCGGGGCAGACATGGGAACCACCACCAGTCTAGTGGAAGCAACCCCCCCAGGCCAAGTGACCGGGCCCCACTCCCATTCTCACCCAAACCCAGGTTCGAGGTCTTCACCACCCTCAACACTACCTATGAGAATGTCCTAGTGCACGAGGCACCTATCATACCTCAGCCTCCACCCCGGAAACCAGGCAGCAAGCCTATGCCTAACACAGGAGTCTTCTGTCGCTTTCATCAGTTCGGTGGCCATGATACCGAATCTTGTGTTGCCTTGCGCAACATCATTGAGGGACTTATTCGCGAGGGGAAGCTGGATAAATACGTGCACAACCTCCCACCTAACCCTCACCAACGGCAGATCAACATGATCTCAACCATCAGTGGTGGCCCAACCATGGCTGGCACCTCCAACAACTCCATCAAACATTATGTCCGCTCTACTTATGCGCACCAGGTCTTCAGTACTGAGCAGGGACGCTTGCCGAAGACACAAAAAACAGGCTGGGCCCCCATTACCTTCTGCGAGGAGGAGGAGCGCGGCGTTATCCTCCCTCACGATGACCCAATCATTATCCGCGCCGACATATCTAACTTTGACGTTGGGCGCATATTAGTAGACACTGGCAGCTCGGTCAGTGTGATGTTTGCTGATGCCTTCAATGAGCTCCAGGTCCCATCTCATTTGCTCGACCGAAGCGTCACACCCCTGGTGAGCTTTTCGGGTGATGTGGTCAGCCTATGGGGAGCATTCATCTCCCTATCTCTATTGGAGCAGCTCCCCAGCGAACGACGGTCACCACTCCCTTCCTCATCATTGACTGCCCTACAGCCTACAACGTTATCCTGGGACGCCCTGCCATGGCCCAGATGAAGGTCTTCATTTCCACACATATGTTAATGTTGAAATTTCCTACCCCCTATGGCACGGGCACTGCGCGCGGTGATCAACTGGGCGCCCGAAGTTGCTATGCTTCAGCAGTAAAGTCTACTAATCGCCAACATAGGGGTGAGGCCCTAGCAGTAACCCAGGCCCTAGCCCCACCTCGAGCTGGCACTGAGCGCCCAGAGGACCCCAGGGAGGAATCTGCCACCCAACAGGCCGAACCTGTGGAGGACCTTGAACTGGTCACTCTCCATGAGGATATCCCGGATCGACAGGTCAGGGGCACCTCCCTCTCACAAGAGCTTCGCTCTGATCTTATTGCCTTCCTCCGCCTCAACTCTGAAGTCTTTGCTTGGTCTTACAACGACATGCCGGGCATATCACCTGACGTCATCTCCCATAGGCTAAGCATTAATCCTGTCGTCCGACCCCGTTCGGCAGAAGCGTCGTGCTTATGACCCAGAGCGGTATGAGGCCATGAAGGCGGAGGTGGATAAGCTGAGCACCATTGGTTTCATCAAGGAGGTGGATTATCCCACCTGGCTAGCCAATGTGGTAATGGTACGTAAACTAAAGAAGGGTTGGCGCATGTGCGTAGACTACACAAATCTCAACCGGGCCTGCCCAAAGGATAGTTTCCCCCTACCCCGCATTGACCAGCTAGTTGACGCCACAGCTGGCCAAGCCCTCCTCAGCTTCATGGATGCTTACTCAGGGTACAACCAGATCTTCATGCATCCTGAGGACCAAGCTCATACATCCTTCATCACCGACCGTGGCCTTTACTGCTACAAAGTCATGCCATTCGGCCTCAAGAACGCCGGGGCTACATATCAGCGTCTGGTGAATAGCATCTTCGCTCCACTTATTGGCAACACCATGGAGGTTTATGTCGATGACATGCTGGTCAAGAGTCGCACTGCTGACCAGCACATCCCCAACCTCTCTGCCACGTTCACCATTTTGAAGCAGTATAGGATGCGGCTCAACCCCACCAAGTGTGCATTTGGGGTGGCCTCCGGCAAATTCCTTGGCTTTATGATCAGCCAAAGAGGTATTGAGGCCAACCCAGAGAAGATCCAGGCTATTTTGGACATGACGATACCCAAGACGGTCAAGGACATTCAGAGCCTTACTGGGCGTGTCGCAGCCCTGACCAGATTTATCTCTAAGGCCACTGATCGTTGCGCCCCATTCTTCAAGGCACTTAAGGGTAGCAAGCGCAACATCACCTGGACTGCAGAATGTGACCAGGCATTCGGCGAGCTCAAGGCATACATGAGCCGAGCCCCTTTATTGTCAACCCCTGAGTCTGGGGACGTCCTCACCATCTACCTTTCTGTCTCGGCTACGGCGGTTAGCTCAGTGCTCATTCGACCACATGAAGGTGCTGAGCATCCGGTGCACTATGTGAGCAAAGGATTGCAAGATGCGGAGATTCGATACCCAGACATTGAGAAACTTGCTTTCGCCCTGGTGGTTTCGGCTAGACGCCTCCGGCCATACTTTCAAGCTCACACCATCCATGTCCTAACCAACCAACCACTCAGGCAAGTGTTGCAGAAGCCAGAGACTTCTGGGAGGTTAGTCAAGTGGGCCATTGAACTTGGTGAGTTTGATATCCACTACAAACCCCGCCAAGCCGCAAAGGGCCAGGCCGTGGCTGATTTCATATCTGAATTCACCGAACCCCATACTTTGGCCAGTCCTCAGATTGCAATCACGCCTACTCCTACCTCGAACCAGGTCCATGTCGCCAGCAACGGCTCCCTAGACTTAACTCAGCCCTTGTGGACCTTGTATGTGGATGGCTCTTCCAATGCCCAGGGATGTGGAGCTGGCCTCGTTCTCATATCCCCAGACAAGGTTGCCCTTGAGTACGCCCTCCGCTTCAAATTCCACGCCTCCAACAATGAGGCTGAATATGAAGCACTCTTAGCCGGCCTTCGCCTAGCCAAGGAAATGGGCGCCAAGCAAATCCAAATATTCAGCGACTCGCAGCTTGTTGTCCACCAAGTCAACCAGGACTTCACGGCCAAGGACATCTCCATGACAGCCTACCTCCAACATACCCGCCACCTGCTTACAACTTTCAATGCTTATCTCATAGGCCAGGTGCCACGCTCTGAAAACAGTCATGCTGATGCATTGGCAAGGCTAGCCTCGGCGATGGAGCAGGGCATAGGTCCAAACATCCACATCGAGTTCTTGGACCAGCCCAGTACACGGGCACCACTCATTTGTGTCATTGATCAAAGCCCTACATGGATGGACCCCATCACTCAGTTCTTGCAGAACCAGACACTACCTGCTGATCCTGCTGAAGCGCGGCGTGTTCGCTATCGTTCCGCCCGATACTTGATCATCAATGGTGCCCTATACAAGCGCGGCTTCAGCCTCCCCTACCTTCGGTGCTTGACCCCAGAGGAAGGTACCTATGTCCTGAGAGAGATTCATGAAGGTATCTGTGGCAACCACTCTGGCGCTCGCTCCCTAGCACACAAGATCATTCGGCAGGGATACTTTTGGCCATCACTTCACACTGATGCCCAGACCTTCACCCAGAAGTGCGATAAGTGTCAGCGATTTGCCAACATCCCACAACTTCCAGCTGAGCCATTGACAGCCATGGTCAGTCCTTGGCCATTCGCCCAATGGGGACTTGACCTCATTGGACCTATGCCTGAGGGCAAGGGCCAAGTCAAGTATGCAGTTGTAGCTGTGGACTACTTCACCAAGTGGGTTGAAGCTGAGGCCTTAGCCACCATCACTGCAGCCCGCATTGAAACTTTTGTTTGGCAAAACATCGTCTGTCGCTTTGGCATCCCCAACACCATCGTCACAGACAATGGCCGGCAATTTGACAACGCAAAGTTCAAGCAATTTTGTTCCAACCTCAAGATAAAGCTTTGCTTCGCCTCCCCAGCCCATCCTCAATCTAATGGCCAGGTGGAAGCTGTGAACAAGATCATCAAGAAAACTCTAAAAACTAAGCTTGACAAAGCTAAAGGTTGCTGGCCGGAGCTACTCCCAGAAGTTCTCTGGTCTTATCGCACCACCTTCCGGACCTCAACAGGAGAAACACCTTTCTCTCTCTCCTTTGGTACCGAAGCAGTGGCACCAGTGGAGATTGGCCAGCCCACATACCGCACCTCCACCTATGAGGCCGAGGCCAATGACGAGCAGCTAGCCCTGAACCTCGACTTCATTGACGAGCTTCGTGACCAGTCCAACATGCGCAATGTCGCGTACAAACAGCGCATCGCTAAGTACTACGACTCCCGAGTCAAAGCCCGTGCTTTCAAACTTGGGGACTGGGTCATGCGCAAGGTTTCCTTGGCCACCAAGAATCCCACTGAAGGTACCTTGGGCCCAACATGGGAAGGTCCTTATGAGGTTACCAAAGTCTGCCGCCCCGGCACTTATCAGCTTCGTGACACCAAGGGCAAGACCTTGCCTCATCCTTGGAATGCTGATCACCTCAAGTACTACTATAAGTAAACATACCTAGACTCTAGGCTATTATGTTTTCTCTTACTTTGGTCTCGAGCCTTGACTCAACCAACTCTTGTACTTTTTGCCTTCCGGCACATATTTAATGAACGCCCAACCCTGGCTCATTTTCATCAATCACATGGTTCCCATTTTGCTAAGCACAATTGATATCAAAGGACAACAAGTCTCATATCATAGCACATCAAAATAACCTTGCCCCAGGCAAGGCAAAATGTTCATACATAACCAAAATAAACATCAAGTGTTTAAACTAAAAAGCTAGAATACATAAAGAAGGCAACGCCTTCAGGACTCAGTCGATGGAGCATCCGTAATGGCTGGCTCTGGCTCTGGCTCTGGAACGACATCAGTGGTACGACTAGATGAGGGAGGCTCGCCACTCGTGTCAAAGTTAATCTCCACTGAAGGGTTGAACATCGCCACCCTCTCCTCCCAACCCAGCTGCATCGCCACCATCTGATCCATGATGTAGTTCCTCAGCTCATCCGAACCCCGAAACGACTCGATCGCTTCGACCCGGGCAGCAGCTACCTCCTCGGCCCTCGACCGCTTCAGCTCTTCCATCTCCTTGGCCATCGCCGCTTTCTGCAGCACCAGGGTGTTCTTCTCTCGGATGGCCTCCTGCGCCTCCGCTACCTTATCCTTGGCCATCTCATTGCGCCTCTTCAACCTCTGGATCTCTTTATCTGCCTTGGCCATATTCACGTACATCTCACCATAAGCCTGCAACACACAACATTATCAGTTCAAGGCAAATTCAAATTATATGAACAAAGTCTTAAGGCAAGCCAACTTACATAGGCCTGGGTCAGGAGCGTCTTCTGGGCCCGATCTGCATAGGAGGTAGCCGGGGTCCTCGCCAGAACCTCTGGGTCACTCTTCACGCCTTCCAGGAAGACGTTCACCAAGGGAACCTCCTGCCGATGCATGGCCAAGTTCACCTCCTTCTTCTGCCGACGCAGTCCAGAGAAGTCCACCTTCTCTACCCCCTCGGCATAAACATCATCCATACCAAAGGGGAGCTTCGGCGGCGCCTGCGGGTCAAAGGGAGGAAGCCTCGGCCCTGTCCCCATCACGCTCCGGTGAGCTTCCTCCAGCGCTCTCTTCTTTCCCAGCACATCAGAGACTAGGCCCTCCTCATCTCTGGAACGCCTCCCAGCAGCCTGTTGGGCACCTCCCTTCTCGGCCTTCTTGGCCCGAGACTCCCTCAGCCGTTTCTGCATCTCGGGATCATCCAGATCCATGGCCACCTTCGTGCTCCCCCTTATGATCCCTGCCACTGCACATCAAAAGCCAAGTCAGTTTCAACTACAAAATGAATCATAAGACAAACAGCAATAGTGACCCAGGTACTTACTCCCTTGCAAGAGTCCGGACTCGTACAGGTTCTTCTGGGTGACTAAGTTTCTACGCTCACGCTGGGTCTCCGACAACAGTGACCTCACTCTCTCAACCTCGTCTTCTCGCTCCTTGGAGATCGGTCCCCACTTCACCGAACCTGCACCACAGTTCAGATATCAACTTAGCCATTTATGCTTGCACAAGCAAAACAATAAAACATAAATAAAGACCCAAGCGTCAAAACACTACAACACAACTAGTCTTAAAGGATGGGGCTAAGGACCTATCGACTGGAAGTGGGTTGGAATATGTCTGGAGACGGTCTTCCCTGGAGGACACTCCCAATCACCATAGGCCAAGCACCACCTGTTCCGCCAAGACTTCTGCGTACTCGGCTTATGCCCAATAAAGTAACCTCTCTCCTTTGCCTTCCGGCAATTGGCTTGTACCCAGCCAAAGGTCCCCTGTTGCTTGGAGATCGAATACAAGTACATAAACTGCTCAAATGTTGGCTCCCCCAACCCAACCAACCACCATGCAATGTAAACTCCATGCAGAAGTAGCCAAAAGTTGGGATTGTATTGCCCCGGCGCATACCCCAACTTGGCCAGCATCATCTGCACCCAAGGATGAAATGGTAGTTTGAGACCATGCTGGTACATATCAGTGAATATCATCACTGAACCCTCCGGAGGATATCTCACTACATCCGCAGCACTAGGTAGCCTCAGGCCCACATAGGATGGCACACTATAATCTGTCCGAAGCTCAACCAACTTGGCTTCTGTGAGTGTATTCCGATTTCCCAACGGAACACCAACCCGGATGTCCACCCCCTCTGCAGCTGAAACCATGGCTATACCCACAGACTCTGATGGTGATGTCTGATTGCTCGAGCCCACCTCCGGTGTATGTGCCAAGGCTAGAACCCGATCAACACTGGTTTCTAACACTTTATACTTCTTCTGCATCTTCCTATATGCCTCTGACCCAGACTCTACTGATGGCCCAGCCATCTCACCCTCATGCACTCCCATCCTAGCTTCTATAAGCCCTTCTACAAAACTATCTGTCTGGGAACTCTCCTCTTCAGAACAAACATACTCACTGGCCTCTTCACTCTCAGACATCTACAACATGCAGAAACAAGAAAAAGGAACTAATGCACATGCAAAGAGGATCTAAGCACAAAAACACAAAATTGGACAGCCTCTACATGCTTTTTGATCTGGATGCATACATTCAACATGTTCATACTCATGCTCAAGGTGTTCATCATACTCTTCAACATGTTTATACAAAAAGTTGAATTTCATTTCGAGAATTCAAGGGAAATGAGGTCTAACCTTGTTTGCACCACCACCAAAATCTCACCAGAAATCTTTCTCTCCTTCTCACTTTCTGACAATCTTTCTCAAAAATCTCCAAGTATGATGCCTACGTCACTCCAAGTTCCAAGTTCCTATTTATAAGGCCCTAGGGTTACAAGAGAAACCCTAGCAACCTTTCACCTTCCCTCCCAAACCCTAGGCCCTAGGGTTACAAGAGTACCTACACAGCATTTGCAATTACAAAAAACGAAGGAAGAAGTTGAAGGTGGAAGTGCAAGGTGGGTGGCCTCACAATTCAATTTTGCCCAGCCTCAAATCACCAGCCTTGCCAAAATTGGCCCAGCTAAGTGAAAATTCACAAAAGCCCAGCTCCAAATCCTAGCTATCCCCTAGCCAAAACGAGACCAGCTCCAATGTTGGCCAAACCCTTTTGGACACCTACCGAAGGTCCAGCTCTAGGCTCTCACTTCTTGCCGAAAAACCCAAGGTGGCCCAGCTCCGACCCTGCCTTTACAAGCACAGCGAAACAAAAACCAAAGGACAGGTCTTGGCCTTGGTCCACTCCACGACAGAAGACAGGTCTCGGACATGCCAGAGACTCAAGTACAGATTTAGGTCAGCCCCAAAACTTTTCCCAACTTACCCTTGCCGAACGGCAAGGGTCATGCTGACTCTTTTTGGACCCCCCCCCCTCTCTTCACCTCCACTTCCTTGCCCAGCCATTCCTAAAGCTCATCCACGGTTCAGCCCAAGGCAGGACCTAGGTCCTCATGAGCCCACACCCAGTCTTTTTGAACCTGCCGAAGGTCTAACTCCCCAAAAAGAAAAAAAAGAAAAAAAAACAAAACAACAAAAAACAAAATTCTCACAAGGACCCAGCTCTTTCCTTGACAAACAGAGGAGCCATGATTTGATCTAGACACCCAGGTCACAAGGAATGCCCAGCTCCAAACCCCGAAAGACCCAGCTCTAATCGGGCCAGCCAACAAAAACTTCAAAAAACATTTCCAATCACCCTTGCCGAACGGCAAGGGTTATGTAGCAACAAAATGGAGGCCTCCACAAATGGCAGCACTTACCTCAGAAATTTGATCTAGACACCCAGGTCACAAGGAAAGCCCAGCTCCGCCTACTTTTGCAACGTCCCAGTCCCAAATTTGTTCCAGAACAGCTCTGCCAAGGACCCCAGCTACGGATAGCCCAGCTCCAAAGCCCAGCCCTGCCGAAGGCCTAGCTCCAAACCTGCACAGCCAAGTCAAAAAAAAAACAAACAAACAGAAAAAAAAACTGATCAGGACACCCACGGACCCATGCCTCCTTGCTCAGCCCAGCTTGGGCAAATCTCACAGCTCCAAGTCACTCAACGAAAGCCTTACCACCAGGACCCAGCCCGTAAACTCAAGGATTCCAAATCTGATTTCAAGGCTCGGTTCCAGCTCCTTGGTCCTCTCCGTTGGACGACCCCGGCTCCGCCGAAAATTCACAATAGCCAAGCTGCACCCTTCTGTTCAAAATCAAGGCACTCACATCACATTCATCATATTTTAAAAACCAGCAAGATGGCCTTGCCGAACGGCAAGACCCATGAAGATATTTTTGGGGGCTCACAGCACTCACCAAAACTGAAGTATAATTTCAAGGCTTCGCCACACAGCCCGTGCTCACATGGCTGCCATACGGCCCAGCTCCGATCTTTTTCCTTCCAAGAACCAACTCCGAACCCAGCTCCACCCTTGCCGAATCTGCAATAGGCCAGCTCCAAGAAAAATCAAGAAATGGCCAGCTCCAAGTCACAGCCAGCTCTTGAGACTCAGACCATCCGATTCAAAGGGCCCCAGAAATTCCTTTTCACAACACCTGCCGAACGGCAGGTCTCGTGCAACAGTAAACAACAGACCTGTCGAAACGGCGAAAGCTGCAAATGCTCAACCACCGAGCACTTCCTAGCCAAAATCCAACCTACCGAACGGTAGGTACTGAGCAATCGAATGAAGGGCTACGCACCGGAGGTGTCGAAAGCAACCTTGTCCAACCTCCTTACTGTTACGGGCCGAAGCTCAACTCTCCAGCACTCTTGCTCCTCCCAAGCCAAGACCCGACACTAGGAATTTTCGAACCTTGGAGGAACCTGCCGACAGTCGGAATGCCCAGCTCAAGACTCTATCGCAGCTGTGAACCAAGGAGGTCAGCTCTGTTGCCAAACAGCTCCCACGATCTGGTATTTCTTCTCCTCACAGCTGTCTCGGAGCCCAGCTCCAACTTCACGCCAAAACTGCTGAGTTGCCGAAGACCAGGAACTCGAAAGTCCTAGCTATCTCTTTGCCTAGCCCTTTTTAGTGCTCTACAGGATATCCCAGCTATCTCTTGCCGAACGGCAAGAGATAGTCAAACTAATTTTATACTCTCTTAACAACTTCCTACCCTAGCTCACCACACCCCTAAACCCTTGCCGAAGCCTGGCTCCAGGACTTTGGCAACCTTTTAAGGCCCAGCCTCTAAAACCCCCAAGCCTTGGTCAAGAACCTAAACACACCCCAAGGACCCAGCTCCTTATTTTGTTTCGAAATTTTCTCCCCTTGCCGAACGGCAAGGGCTGTGTACCAGGTATAGGCCCACCCTCCCCCCCCCCTCCCTCTCCAACAAAGGCCCATTCAGCCCAAGTACACAAGACCTTGGGTTATAGCTCTACCAAACCCTTGTGCTCACAAAGGGCCCAGCACCCTATTTTTCTACGCGCGGTGTCTTAGACATTGACACTACAAGAAGGTTCACAAGGCCCCCCCCCCTACCAAAGGAATCAATATAGGCCTAGGCCACAAAAAAAAAAAAAAAAAAGTGAAATGTGAAAGTGTAAACCATTCCTGAACTTCCCCCCCACTTCTCCTTCAAGCTTGAGCCCAATCTGTTGGGACCCCAAGCCCTTGTTGCCCAAAACCATCACTTGGTTACCAAACGGCAAGACCTGGGTCAACAATCACTGCAGCTTCGACAACCCACGTTTACCTTTCTTTTCAAGGTACCCAGCTACCAAAAATCACTGAGGCTAACACAGCTTTTTATTATACCTTCCAAGTGTTAACGCCACTTCTAGCTTGACAACTTGGGGGACTAGGGACTGCCCTACGGCTCCCACTGAACCTGGAATGCTCGGTCACGATTATACAAAAACCTAACAAGTTCCCAACCCAGAAGTCACTTCTTGACCGCGAACTTGGGGGACTACTGTTTACACCATAATCAACCGAGCATATCCAGTCTCAAAACAACTAGCACCAAGGCAGACACGCCTTTTCTCCTACCGAAGGAAGACACTCTTCCGAGATGCCAAGCACCTGCCGAAACTCCCGACTGCCAAAGCTCACAAACTGTTAAAACCTAATTCTCATGACACGTGTCACCACCGCGGCGACTTGCACAGAGTCCCACATCGGAAATCTACACCAACCTCCCACTTTCACTTCCCTATAAAAAGGGAACAGTACCCTAGTAAGAGGGGTAACTACTTTTCTGCCTTTTACTATTACTCTGCAAAAGTTACCATTCTTAGCTGACTTAAGCATCGGAGAGCCTTCGGCCGGCACCACACCGGTGCCCAGAGCTTGACGACTGCTTCCCCTATTTTTGTCTTCTGCAGGCTAGCCTTTATTGAAGGCCCAGACCCTTTCCCTGCTGAAGGCAAACCCCTTTTTCTCTAAGTTGACCCTCTCCGAAAAAGAGCATCAACACAAGGCAAAGTAAAAATTGATACACAATTTGCATAGGTTAGTATCATATACTTGCGAAGGGGTGGTGACTACATCTTTATATGAATATATATATATATATATATATATCATGGTGAATCATTGGGTGGCCTGATCCCTTTTTGGGTGCCTTGTGTTTTTAATCCCAAAGTGAAGAGTTAAGAAGCCAAATAGTTCCTCAAAGAGGCCTTGGTATGGGGTAGCCTCCCCTCTCCCTAAACACATGATAGTTCTTTCACTTCATACACTGCAAGGTGAGTCTTGTTTATGGCAAGGAGGTGCAGCTCATTCTGGTGAATTTGGATGTAAGTATCTGACAATGATCTCAACTCCTTCCCATTTGGAATCTGCAACAATTTGCTTCTCTGTTTTTCCCACCCAGCAGCACCCCACACAAAAATCTGCAGGGCCAAAATGACATCGATTGGTGGAATGTGTGCAGGTGTTCTGGCCTTGTGACTTTCGAGTTTACCAGTAAATTTATTGGACAGCAAACACACGAACCCAGAGCTGATTGGCAAGTGGAAAAATTTGGAGGTGTTATCATTGGGTTCATGCTTAAATTTGGCGAAAATACTTGCAATTATACAAACACATTGCAAGAATTTTTATGGTTTAGATTTGTCCAAAGGCTCTGTTCATGGGCGTGAGGCATTGTCAATTTGTGAAGTTGGTGCCCAAAAATGATATGACAAATTTGTATATTTAAAACATATAGCCGCACGGCTTTACTTTCTAAATACATTTGGATATTTAAAAGTATAGCCGAACGGCTATACTCTTTAAATATTTTCGAGAAAAACACGAAGCTTGCACTAGCAGACGACGGAGCTTGCAGAAGCCATTTCGCTTCTCTATCAACTCGAGCTTCGATTTGTTTTCTTCGGTTTCTGTTGTTTATATGACAAAACAAACGAACAAATAATTCTACTTTGATTCAAGATGTATAATCATCACCATTCTCAATAACTTTCTTAACACTTGACAAGTTGACATGTGTACCATCACCACTTTAATCGATGGGCGTAACCATAGTTACACAAATACAAATCAAATAGTTAACTATGGTTATGCCCATGAACACATGTCAAAATGTTGAGAATGATGATGAGGTGTACCGTATTATGATAGGAACGCACGCTATTAATATAAAATAAATAAATAAAAGTAAGGGGCTTCTACAATATCTCATTCGGGTGTGGGAACATCGCGTGATATTTACCCAAAAATATATATATATATATATATATATAATAAAACAACAAGGAAACTAAAAGTGTAAATCCGCATATTAAAAATACGAAAATGTAAAGAGAATTATGAGATAATAAATAACCCATTAAAGAACATCAACTCCAAACAATAGAGGTCTGTCAAAGTTCTCTCTCTCTACCACCTTTGTTCTTTGTTTGGTTTTAGAGTTAGGGTTTCCAAAACCAAAAAAAAAAAAAAAAAAAAAAAAAAAAAAAAGAAGGGGCAGGGTGGACAGTCATTGGCATCGAGCAGTAGTCGGATGGAAACAGTACTTACTTCTACTCAACACCACCAGTCCAGTTCAAACCAAGAAGAAGAGGTTAACAATTTTTTTTTTGGTGAAATGGGGGGGAAAACCCCAAACAAACAAAACAAACTAACCAACACAAATCAACCGGGGCCTAGACACCCCTAACAAATCATCCACCAAAGAAGTCCCAATCCAACTTGGAGCCTCATCAAAAACGCAGATACCAAGATCTAAGTTATAACTCCAAGCAGCCAGACGATCTACAACACTGTTTTTCTCCCTAAAAATATGATGCAGGCTGCACTTCTCAAGCTGCTGCATTAACTGCCAACAGCTAGAGACCAGAGATGCAAGAGGGTGCCAAGTAAGAGAATCATGCTGCTGAACAAGCTGGATAGCAATAGCCGAATCCATCTCAACGATAAGGTTATTAAACCCTTTCGCAACAGCCATCCTCAGACCAAAGAACAGACCCCATAATTCAGCCTCTATAATCTGCCCTTTACCCAAATTAACAGCAAACCCACTACACCAATCACCAGAAACATCACGCAACACACCTCCAGCACCAATATGGCCAAAAGCAACTTTCCTAGAGCCATCAACATTCAGTTTAAAGACCCCAGCAGGAGGAGGTTCCCAAGCAAACCAAGCCTCAACCTTAGCACACTTGGTAAAAGAAACATTAGAAGTTTTAAACCATTCCTTCACAGCAGCAGTAATAATTTGTATGGAGTCAAAAGCCAACTCTTCATCACCATGAAACACATAGTGATTCCTCCATTTCCATATATACCAACATGTGAAAACAAAGACCAAATTCCAAGGAATACCATCAGCCCAAACAATCTTCGACATCAAATTTACTCTAAGCCAAGGTTGAAAGTCCATAGTAAAAAATCTAGCACTTTGACTAGAATTGAGAAGAGCATTCCACACCTTCTTAGCCTTAACACAATCACGAAGAATATGGAGTATAGACTCCATAGGCCAATGACACGATCCACAAGAAGCATCCAAAGATAGCTGTCTTCTAACTCTTTGCTCATTAGAAAGAATTTTTCCTTGAAAAACAAGCCAAAAGAAAATATGCAACTTGGGAGGAATCCTCAGCTTCCACAAAAACGTCCAAGCAACATCAGAGCAAGTAGAGCCCTCAAAAACCATATTATAAGCAGATTTTACAGAGAAAATCCCATTGGAGGAAAACTTCCAAATTTGAGCATCCTGTATCCCACTATTAAACCCCACAGGACAGCTAATAACTCTTTGGACCAGCTCTTCAGGTAAAGCAGCCCTTAGTTTCTCCATATCCCACCAACCATCTCTGTAAAAACTGGAAATAACAGAATCTGGGTCACAAATATGCACACCACTATCATTTTGGTTTAAAGGAGCATCAAAAACCCAATTATCCTTCCAAAACTTAACAGTACCACCATCCCCAATTCTCCATAACATACCCTTCCTTAAAAGAGCAGCACCATGAAGCACACCTCTCCATGTAGAAGAACAATCCTGCCTAAAAATCACAAAATCATCAAGAATAGAATGGCCTTTAAGGTATTTAGCCTTATAAATCTTTGCCCACAAGCCTTCATCCTTAATATGCAACCTCCAACCAATCTTGGCTAACAAAGCTTGATTCATAGCACCAGTTTTTTTAAAACCCAAACCCCCTTTACTCTTAGGCCTACAAACAAGATCCCACTGACAAAGATGGACCCTGCTCCTTTTCTCACTCCCACCCCAAAAAAAATTTCGATTTAATTTGTCAAGTGCATCACACGCACTAGTAGGCAGTTTAGCAATTTGCATTGCATAAACAGGCACAGCCGAAGTAACAGTTTTCTTTATATATAATTTAGTTTTCTCTTCATTTTGTGTATATTAGTGTTTTGATCACCGAGTCTCTGGTTTCCTCGTGATTAGTTTCCCATAAAACATAGTAGAAAATGTGGTTATGTGTTCTTCTTCATTTTCACTTTATTTTGAGTGTCAAACTACTTTTTCATTTTCATTTTATGTCTCTCTGGGAGTTGGTAAGCATTTCACTTGTATGCTCAGTCAAGTCCATAATATTTCAGTGGTTGTTTAACACATTCTTTATATGCATGTCTGTTTGGTTATAAGTTTATAAGACATTCTTTAAATTCTAGAAATTCAAGATAATCCTTCACTAATATTTTAGTTTCCTGTGAAAAATTTAAAACCTTTCATTAGTATTACGTATCTCCAGGAATTCTGAACTTCAATCATTTGATCTCCAAAATAGCAACTTTATGAAATGGTAAAAAAGAAAAATGTAATAGCTTTCCTTTGAAATTTAGTCTAGGGTTGGAGACTCCAAACTGTTCACTCTAAGAAATTTTGCATTGGTGTAACAGTATGCTGTGTTGCCTGTTGGAGTTGTTTCTGAGCTTTTAAATCTCCTGTAGAATTTCTGTTAGGCTAGAAAGCTTGATTATCTCCTCAAAGAAAAGGAGGGCTTATCTCATTTGGTTTCGCTTTTGTGGCATTAGCCTCCCCTGCATTATATTTGCTGTTGGAATGTGTCTAATGTTACCAATGGCCTAGTCATTTCTTTTACCTATGGATCATATTTCATGTGCCAAGTACCCCTTAATGTGGATTGCAGACTGCATGATCTGTGTATTTATTTTATGCTCTCCCACTGTCCTTGAAAAATAATATAAATAGACTTTTTATTTATAGGATATTAGAGTTAGACTCTCAAGGAAGAATTGTAATTTTGTATTAGACGTTAGGCCTTATCATGAATGTCCATATCCTAGAGTTTCCTCCCTGGGACATGGCCACAGTTGGTATCTTTTATAAGCTCATTCATTGATTCTTGATGTTTGGTGTGAAGCATAGATTGCTTTTCCTTTTTCTTTTCTAGTCAACCAGATATGGGAACAATTATTCTGGTTGTAAAATTATTGTAAATTAAGCAGGTTTTTGGTTCAGCCTTTGTTATAGTATTGTTTGGGTTAAGTACATGTATCATTTTATTTTTTGCAGATTAATGTTTTCTTGAAAATTATGAGAACTGTGGCCTTAACAGTCAAAAGCTCTGAGACGATAAAAGATCTTAAAGCACTGTTATGCGAGAAGTATGGATTTGCTGAAAATCATCAGGAGCTCTTCTTGGGTGGTGACATGCTCATGGACTACCAAAGTCTAGTTGACTGTGGAGTTCAGAGGGACTCAACTGTTCATCTTGTTCTCCAGAATACTGTCGGAATCAAATTATTTGTCAAATTACCATCAATTCAGGGCACCATTGAGATTGAAGCTCATGATACCATCCGAAACATCAAGGCCATGATTCAGGCCAAGGAGATGATTCCATCGGATCAGTTCACTCTTGTCTATGGTGGAGAATTCCTTGAAGAGGACAGCACACTGGCCTCATTAGGTATCAAGAGCGAGTCAACCCTGCAAATGATTTATGCTCCTAAAGATACCCTTTCAATATCTGTGAGAGCACCATCAAGAGAGACTGTGAAACTCAAGGTTAGAGCCTTTTTCACTGTCAATGATGTCAAAAATATAGTTGGGAACAATATAGGTGTCTCAGTCAGTTATCAGAGTCTGATCTATGCCGGAAAACAGCTTGAAGATCTCAAGACATTGGCTTTTTATGACATCAGAGATGAATATGTTTTGGAGATGTCACCTCATTTGTTTCAGATATTTGTTAAAGTTTTTGATGGGAGGAGAACCTTAACTATCGATGTGAAGCAGTCTGATGTTGTTGAAGATGTGAAGGTCAAGGTTTTTCGCAAGCTTAAAGTGTCTATGAAGCGTTACTATTGTTGTAGGCTTTTGTTTGGTGGGAAACGTCTTCGTAATGGTCGGGATCTAGCAAGCTACAACATACAGAAGGACTCCACCCTTAGTTTCGTTATGTCAACAAACATTTTCTAGAGGGTCGTAAGCTAGTGTGGTTAGCTATCTTTTGCAGATTAGCAGCAGCAACAATATTTTGGCACAGGTAAGGTTGGAGAAATGATGAGTCACATGTGAGATTATCTAGGTAAGATTAATTTCAAATGTAATGCACTTAGAATAGGGTACAACTGTGCTGAGCTCACTGTAGGTATGTGCAATGTTCAAGCCAAAAAGTAGGATCAAACTTAAATTGTGCAACTTTTGTATATAAATATGTTTCTTTTGATTGTGCCTCATCATTTTTGTGTCCCTCTAATTTCATTTTCTTTCATAAAATTGTATTAAAACCGACTGCATTTTAAATTTATAAAGACTCTGTCTCAAATTTAAGATCTTTGCTTGAAATAGTTTTCCTTTTGGAGTAAACATCCAATTGATAGTGCAGTACAATCTGTTCCTAGATTGTGCTTTCCAAAGGCTCATGTTGGGTTAAAGCTTTCACGTGATTCTCACGTGCAATGTAGTGTGTTATCTTCCTAAAGTGAATTGTTTTGGTCCTTTTTCTTTAATTATTTGAAGCCTTTCTTTACAAGGACGATTCAATCCCATTCTCATAGGCTATACTTAACCGCATGTAGTGAAGAGGGCTTGCTTGTAAAGGAAGGTTTTGTTTTTGTCTTTTATCGAAACTTGTCAAGGAAGGTTGAGAATCTTTTGAGTCCATAACAAGTGACCAACGGCTTGGAAGTAAAACTTTTCAATCATTGATCTCGTTGCCTTTGGTAGAGCTGAAAAGATGAAGAGGCAGATGCTATGATAGTAAAAGCACCGTTTGATTAAAGATAGGAGAGAGAGGAAGAAGAAGAGGAGAAAAAAAGGAAGAAAGAGGGGAAACTGACAGTAGAAAAAGAAAGAAGAAGGGCAGTGCGGGTCCGGTCTGTTTTTAGAGAAAATACGGGTAAATACAAAGCAATTGGAAATTAACTATGCAAAGACATGGATATGCAATTCAAATGGAATGAAACATGTATGAGCATCTTCAAAGGATGAGGTAAAAGAGTAGGCAAACTTTATTTGCCTTGACACATAAGCATTTTCATGCTCTAAGGTAATAGGTAAATAGGTAGGTAAAATATACATATTCTCCCTAACAAGGCGATGTGGACTACTTCAAAATGAATAGGTATATTGGGCGCCACTTGCTTTTTATGATAAAATATCATATATACTCATTCATACTTTCTATAAAATATAATAATAAATGTAAAAGATAAAAGTTCATAATATAATAATAGTTCGTACAATTGCATTGTCTAGTCCCTTGGAGTGGCACTGACAATGAGTCAAATCGGGAGTGTGGGTATGCCATTCTCATCCCTATCACCGCCTTCATATTCACAATATTTATATCGGGAATTCCTCAACCCCATCTTCATTGGGGAAGTGGTTCCCCGACCAGCACCATTACGGAAGAAAAGACCAACAAAAATGTATACTTATAACTTATAAGACAATATCATAATGTTTACATATTGACGGGTGATTAACTTATAAGATCTATAATATATATATATATGTGTGCATTTGGGTTTCAGATTCAAAATACTATCCCCACCCCTCCCCGAACACCATACCCGTAAAATTCTCCATATTGATCTCTTTATCCTTCATACTCGACCCATTAGGGTCGAATTCCAACTAACTTTTATCCGCAGAGAAAATTGTCATCCCACTGACCAACTTTTTTCATAAGGCAAATGGATAAGCAATATGCCACCTAAGTTGTTATAGTGTATTTTTTCCTTATTTACGTACTCCTTGGAGATGCTCACCATATTCGTAGTTCATAGGTGAATGCATCTGCTGGAGTTCCCAAAAAAAAATTAATGGAATAACCGCAAGCGACGGGAAGAGGGTCTACCCAGCGAGTGAAGACTGTAGTAGGGGGCCCCGCAAAAAATGACCTTAATTCTCTTTAGCCTTTTCGTTTCCCTTTAAAAAAATATATTTATAAATAAATGACCCATTAAGGAGCATCACTCTGTCTCCAAACAATACAGAGGTCTGTCAAATTTCTCTCGTTCTCTACCACCTTGGTTATAAAATAAACAGAGACAGTAGGGTTTGACAGTCATGGCAGCCAGCAGTAGTCGGATTGCAACAGTACTTTCTTCTACTCAACACCACCAGTCCAGTTCAAGCCAAGAAGAAGAGGTCGTTAACGATTTTCAACCTTTCATCTTTGCTTTATATACTATTTTGTTTTCTCTTCATTTTGTGTACTGTATATTAATGATTTGATACTGATCACTGAGTCTCTGGTTTCGTTGTGATTGGTTTTACCATAAAATAGAGAAAAACAGAAAACAAAGTAGAAAATGTTGTCATAACACATTCTTTATACTTTAGAGATTCAAGATAGAATCTTTCACTAATATTTTTGTTTCCTACAAAAAGAAGTTACAATCTATGAATAATATTTTGTTTCCTATGAAAAAACTTTTCACTTTTCACTAACATTATGTATTTCCAGAAATTCTGAACTTCAACCACGACCTTATCATTTGATCTCCAAAATAGCAACTTCATGAGTATTCTATTTTTAAACCAACTTTTCCTTTTGAATTTAGTCTAGGGTTGGAGACTCCAAATGTTCACTCAAAGAAATTTTGCATTGGTAGTAATTGTGTGCTGTGGTTGCCTGTTGGCGTTTTTTTTTATAGCTTTTAAATCTCCGGTAGAGTTTCTATTAGGCTAGAAAGCTCGATTATCTCCTCAAATCTGGTTTCTCTTTTGTGGCATTAGGCTCCCCTGCATTCGTATAATGTTACCAGTGGCCTAGTCATTAACATATTCTGTGTGCTAAGTACTCCTTAATGTGAATTGTAGACTGTATGATCTATATATTTCTGTTATGCCCTCCTACGGTCCTTGAAAAAGTATATATATATATATATATATATATATATATATAGAGTTTTTATTAATCAGAGATTAGAGTTAGACTCTCAAGGAAGAATGGTAATTTTGTATTAGACGTTAGGCCTTATCATGGATGTCTATATCCTAGAGTCTCCTCCCTGGAACACGGGCCACAGTTGGTGTTAGAATCTTTTGTAAGCTCATTCATTGCTGCGTGGTGTGACATATTGACTGCTTTTCCTTTTTCTTTACTAGTATATTATTGATGGCCCAACCTGATATGGATAATGGGAACAATTGTTCTGGTTGTAAAAATATTGTAAATTAACGTTTTCGGTTTGGTCTTTGTTATAGTATTGTTTTGGTGAAGTACATTTATCTTTTTCTTTGTATCAGATTAATATTTTTTTGAAGATTATGAGAACTGTGGCCTTAACGGTCAAGAGATCTGAGACGATAAAAGATCTTAAAGCACTGTTATGTGAGAAGTATGGATTTCCAGAAAATCATCAGGAGCTCTTCTTGGGTGGTGATATGCTCGTGGACTGCCAAAGTCTAGTTGACTGTGGAGTTCAGAGGGACTCCACTGTTCATCTTGTTATCCAGAATACTGTCTGGATCAAATTATTTGTCAAACTACCATCAAGTCAGTGCACCATTGAGATTGAAGCAAAAGCTCATGACACCATCCGAAACATCAAGGCCATGATTCAGGCCAAGAAGATGATTCCATCGGATCGGTTTACTCTTTTATATGGTGGAGAATTACTTGAAGAGGACAGCACTCTGACCTCATTAGGTATCAATAACATGTCAACCCTGCAAATGATTTATGCTCCTAAAGATGTCCTTTCAGTATCTGTGAAATCACCATCAGCAAAGACTGTTAAACTCAAGGTTAGAGCCTTGTTCACTGTCAATGATGTCAAAAACATAGTTGGGAACACTTTAGGTGTCTCAGTCAGTTATCAGAATCTGATCTATGCCGGAAATCAGCTTGAGGATCTCAAGACATTGGCTTTTTATGACATCAGGGATGAATACGTATTGGAGATGTCACCTCGTTTGTTTCAGATATTTGTTAAAGTTTTTGATGGCAGAACCCTAACTATTGATGTGAAGCAGTCTGATGTTGTTGAAGATGTGAAGGTCAAGGTTTTTCGCAAGCTTGAAATGTCTACGAAGCCTTATTATTATTGTAGGCTTTTGTTTGGTGGGAAATTTCTTGTTAATGGTCGGGATCTAGCAAGCTACAACATACAGAAGGACTCCACCCTTAGTTTGGTTCTGTCAACAAACGTTGTCTAGAGGGTCGTAGGTTAGCGTGGTTAGCTATCTTTTGCAGATTAGCAGCAGCAACTATATTTTGGCACAGGTGAGGTTATCTAGAAAGGATTAATTTGAAATGCAATGTACTTAGAATAGGGTACAACTGTGCTGAGCTCACTGTAGGTATGTGCAATGTTGGCCTGAACAGAACAAGTTGCTACATGTGGATCTTGGCTTAAGAAGGAAAACAAACCTGCTTTAATTGCATTTTCCTTCTTTTTTAAAAATGACTTTTGACTTACTGAGTTTTATGTTCAGTATTTGGATGATAATTCGACGAAGGTCTAAAATGAGAGAACTTTGGCCGTAAGCACAATATCAGTAAAAAAAAATCCATGTGGTCATATTTTCTTATATGCAACATGAATTATTAAAAATCAGAATACTTGAATCTTGCAGTAGTTCCTGATTCAAAAATTCTTTCTTCTTTACTCAGTTGAACCCCATCAATAAATTATTTGAAGTGCAAAGAGAGTTGACATTCTTAGAGATTTCTTTTTGTCCTTCCGTTCAAATGTCAGTGTCTAGTTTTGGACTATTACTATACTATTCTATTGATTTTCCAAATTCTTTTACAATACCCGTGCTTTGTGTGAACCTTCCAACTTGTATTAAAATTGAACCAAATTGAAGACTTTGGCTAGAGCCTAGGCTAAATAATTGTTTCATTATTATTAAAGACCAATTATTCAACAGAGAAGCGCTTATCCAATAAACAATATGCAAGATTTATATTAAAAGAATTCTGTTTGTGTTTGTTAAAGAAAAGAACTCTACATAAGGCAGTCTTCAAACTCTTGAGTTTCATCAGAAATATAAAGTTTTGCCAAAACCTGGCAATCTGAACAATCACTCAAGTCTTGAAAATTTCCAATGGAAGCACTGAGACTTCGTAGACCCTCACACCGGGGATACCGAACGCTCCCATCAAGTTACCCAGGTTCATCTCAGCAAAAGGTTGTTGTTGCCTTTTATTTACATACATATTATTTTTCATTGGAACAGTTTAAAGTAATCTCTTCCTTTTTTGTTCTCTCACAATGTCTTATGTATCCTTCATATGTTGAAATTAGCTTCACAAGATTTGTTTCTTCTTTGTAGCAGAGGAATATACTGTGGACGGTCTTGAAACAAGTAGCTCTGAGCGTTAAGAAATCCGTAGGACACAGGAAGGAAAGCAATTCTCAGAAAAGCTTCACGAGCCTCTCTTGGATGATAGTAGTAATTGGCTTCACGATGGCCAAATACCAGCTGATCAAGGAATTCAAAAGGATCCCAGTTACCATATACATCATCAGAATTCAATGAGAATGAAAATATATGTGAAAATTCCATCAAATCAGAAGACCATTGTATTTGAAGCAAAAGGGTACTATACCATCAATGACATCAAATCCATGATTCAGTTGAAAGAGGGAATTCAATCAGACCAGTACACTTTAGTTTATGGTGGGAAACTACTTCAAGATTATCGGACATTGGCCTCGCTTGATATACGGACAGAATCAACCCTTTATATGATTTTTAATCCAAGAGATGTTATGCCAATTTTTGTGAAAACACCAAATGGAAAGATTGTCAAGGTTGAAGTTAAGGTCTTGTACACTCTCCGGGATGTCAAAGCAATTGTTGAGAGCTTTATAGGATGTCCTGTTGCTGATTGTAGAATGATTTATGCAGGAAATGAGCTCCAGGATTGCAAGACTTTGGCTTTCTACAACATTGAAGAAAATTCCACATTAGAGGTGCTGCCTTCTTGGATTCAGATATTTATTAAGACATGGAATGGGAAAACCATTACGCTTGATGTGGCACGATCGAATACTGTCAGAGAGGTGAAGGACAAGATATTTTGTAAGGTTAGAGTGCCAGTTCATTTTCAGAGTATTGTATTTTCCGGAAAACGCCTTGAAGATAAATGGCGTCTAGCAAGATACAACATCGAGAAAGACTCCACTCTCCACATGGTTTTGGCTTGGTGAACCAAATTCCACTATCATTCATGATACCAGAGGAAATGCAAGCAAGAGTTGAACTTCTGTAATAAGGGCGCTGTTAGATATATTCCTTTGGGTTTGATGAAGATGTATAGTGGTTCCCAGTGAAATATTTTATATAGAAAAAGGGTACAAGTCGTCATATGTTCGCAACAAATTTAATTTTTTTTGCATGTCTTAATTTTTCATATTACAAAAGTTTGATGAACTCATTTGGTGATGAATATGCTTTGCTTCACGTGGAACAAAAGTTTTGGGAACAATCTGAATTCCTTAAATTACATTTCATTAAAACGATAGAAATTCGATGGAATTTTATTCTTGATTCCTTCATGAAATCATTTTTTGCAAGAACAATTGCATAAAAATTATGGGATGGCAACACACAAAGTTCTTTGGTAAATGAGATGAATGTCCTGCAGAGACTTAATTTGTATCCGACCTAAATTGGGTCAGAGATCTCCTACTCCTTCAACAAATAAGGCTATTTGCTTCCTCTGTTTCAATTTGAATTTTGAGTTGGCACCAGAATGAAATCTTTAGGCTGCAGAAGAACCTCACATGTGAGTTTGGAACAGTAATTTGGCATAAATACTTGGCTTGGAAACAACATGAAAACCAAGAAGCTTTCTCTGAACACCAGGCTGTTGTAGATTCAACTCATCAATTCTTTTCTATGTATTCTAGGCAGTAAGACAGTGCATAAATTGGAAACCAACTTCTCAAATCTCACTTGGAGCTTCGCAAGTCACAGATATCAACATGATGACGAAAAATAAAAATGATCAATGAAGTAAGCCAGCAGAAGTCACACTTTGAGTTAGAGGGTTATGTTAAGACCTCCCTTTCTGCCATCAGTTAAGATTCCCTCCTGAAAATCCCTCAGAACCCTTCTCTCCTGCCAAAACTGTGTGCATTGGACTCTCACCACTCTTGGATCCATGCTCTGAACCTTCCAATGAAATATCTGTCATAGAATTCTGGCCTTTGGATCTTGATGACCTTCTTGATGATCTTGCTGACCCGCTTTCAGAGGAACCCTTTTTCCTCCTTTGTTTTGGTATCCCAGGTGGATCTTGTGAGGGAGATTCAGATCCAAGGTTGTTAGAATTCCTGCTTCTTCTTGAATGACGGCTACTACCTTCTTTAGCCTCTCGAGAAGGGGAATCCATTACTCCATCCTTGGAGCGGTGGCGCCTAGAATGCTTCTTTGGTCCATCAGAGATCTTCTTGGTGGGAGAACTTTCAGGTTCATCTGTAGGCGAATGACGCCTCGACCTTGGAATGTCACTTCGATGCACCACCAATTGTTGGCCAGGTTTATGCATATCTGCATAGAGAAGCATACAACATTCAAATGTGAATTGTTGCACATTTTTGTTGATTGCATTTCCACATAACAGGAGTTAACAAGAAAAAGGTTACAGAAAGATTATGATCAATTTTAACTTCACGTTAAAAGTGACATGTTATATTGTCAAACTGTCAATACGAACTATTAGCGTCAACATCGTACAGTGAACAGATGTGTTAGAAAATAAGCAAACCTTGGGAGGACAATTCTTTAACAGCCAGTTGCCCAGCGGATGAGACTTCAGGAGAAGATTTGAAATCGTTCATCTGCAAGATGAAATTTTATGTAGTTGCAATTGTATGTTTCATGGAGAGAGAGAGAGAGAGAGAGAGAGAGAGAGAGAGAGAGAGAGGGGTTTACCCAGCTCGGTGTACTATTTGCAGAAGGACCCTCCCATCCAATGTGTGCAACATGCTTTACATCCGTGGGAAAGCCAATTTGTATTTCATCATCTTTCTCTTCTGCAAAATTTGTACCACTTGGTCAATCAATTTGCTCTTTCTTTTCAATCTCTATTAAAATAAATATTATTTACATCACAATGAAGAGAGATTAAACTAAGAAGAAAATTTATGCTCATGATTTCTCACTGGAAAGAAAAAAAAATCCCGCAAAATTTTCGATCATTAGTTCTCGCCGACCAAAGAAAAACATGCAGAAAAACCCAACCGGAATTTATGCCACAAGACCTTGTAAAACTTGAAGAAAAAAAAATTATTCGAATTTAGGGAAAAATCAACGGAAATCGCACGTACCAAACATATGTGAAATGTATCTTAGGCCTTTCAAGAGGCCCTTCACCTTGGTTGCCATTTTGTTGGCTCAAGTGCTTTTGGACATGCACTTCAGAAACCTTCAGCTGGAAATTAAGTTGCTGGTAGAAATGGTGCTTATTCTCAACTTCAAATACAAAGAAAGCAAGAATGTATATGACAAGCTCCTGATCATGGAAACCACAAGAAGGAGAAAAGAATAAATATATACTATCAAAAACCATTTGGAAACTCCTCTGCCCAAAGAATATTCAGCTGCTAGTTGCTACATCACCATATTATTTTTTATTATAATTTAGTTTTCCAAATTGATCCCCAATAAATGTAACACCAAAAGAAAAAATGTGACAGGAAAAAGAACTATGCGTACCTTGAGAAGAAAAGGCAGAGAAAAAGGCATCAGCATGATACAACCAGCTCCTGCAATCTCAAACCCACATCATGGAAAGTGTTCCCAAGCGTACCCATATAATCCAACAGTGCAAAGAGCGGTCTCATCTCTCTCAAACAATTTACAAATAAAAATTTGCAATTGTTGATTGTGATGCCATGGGGCCAGAATTTTTTTTGAATTGGCAAATCCGAAAAGAATCAGAGTGGAAATGAGAGCATCAGTTTTGTTGGATGGCCCGGTGGCGATGCAGTGCTCATTCCCGGTGACCGGTCATCAAAACCTGTTGCTCACCGGATTTTCGGATGGGAAAGTAGAGAGATAGAACTAGAAATGGCCAGGACCATAGGCTAAATTTGGGTGGAGGGGGCTTGTTAACGGTTTTTCAGTGAATGCGCGGGAAAAGCGGTTGGTGAAAACAATTGTGTGGCAATTGTGGAATTACTAGCTCACATCTCATCATCTTAATTTGTATATCTTTTTCCTCTAGAACTTGTGTGACAACCATGACGTACCAATCACTCAAATAGAACAATCTGTTCATATTCTTTTTTCTATAATAAACTAATTTAAATTTAAATTTTGGATTTTCAATTACCCTGGACAGAATGGAAGACAACAATGACATGGTAGGTCTAATCTTTTCTTCTTATTTTTGCCAAAATTAGGAAGAGGATGGGAAAAACTCATACGGGTATTATGGAGACTTAAATCCAGGACCAGCACATCGAAGGCTTGAGCCAATCCAACTAACACCCCATTGGTGACATGGTCCAATGTACGGAATGGAAGACAACGATGACATGGCAGGTCTAATCACTCAAATAAAAACAATTTCTAAATTTTTTCTAATAAAAGGATACATCTTTGATTTCCAATTACCATGCATAGAAAAGACTGGAACAGAAAGAACTTTCTTCTTGGTACAATTGAAAACTTCCGTCTTAGTTTCAGCTCATTCTAGAGAACACGTTCATTATTAATACACCCTAAAGTATAAACTTGTCGACTATATTGTACCATACGAGTAATAACACCACATGACAACGTTACAAGTAGAAACAAAAGTTTGTTCATCTGTCTGTGCCTTCAAGAATTCTATTTGCCACTCTACATCAGAGGCGCTCAAACCTAAGAATCCATCGGGACCGCTTTCTTTTATTTTTTCAATGGAAACGAGCCATGTTTTTTGTGTCATGTGAAACTAGCCATGAAGAATTTGATTAGAGAGTGGGGATCAACATTTTATAAATTAACAGAGAGTTTTGCTACATGTAATTACATTGTTCTAATAGAGAAATTCCATACACCTAGCACCCTGAGACGAGGAAAAATGCTTCGAGGAGTTGAAAATAAGCATAGATCTGACTCCGAGTACTCCGAAATATGAATTATTCTAGGAGAGGAGATAAGCATAGATCTGAATATTCCGAAATATGAACTATTCTAGGAGAAGTTTGAATCCGTTCTGTTCGGATCTTCATCGGCATTGGTTTGGTTCGGACACCAGACTACTCAAGCCCATCCCAGTCACCGGCCACCAAAAAGTAAAAACTAAAGAACCTAAGGCACATGCTTATACAACCTTAGCATTTGATTATACTGAATTACCCATCTCTATGATATCTTTGCTGTGTAGAACATAGTTTCATTCGAACCCTCTCAGGTCAACCTCAACACACTAAAAAGAAGCAGGGAAGAAAACAACTTTCCACCGCACAGGCAAGACATATGGAACCAAATAATAATAACTGGCTCTGTAACAACCAATTATAAGTAAAAATTTAGCATTAAAACATTAATCAAATAGCCATATGAATTCAGGAAAAAGTCGCATTATTTTTCATCTTTGAAGTTGAAGGATTAGGCCACAAGGACATGATCCAAGGAGAAGGAAATGGATGGCAAGGCAACCGAATGCACAAGCCTCCTCTCATCAGGAAACCTTCTCATTCATGAAGCCTTCAATTCATCCATGCCAACACTAGCCTGTGTTAAAGAGTAAAAGTTCGTCAGCATACTAGCAGTTTACAATAACAAATGAGTTAATAATTTATTATCTTCTTTTTCTCATTGTTTTTTCTAAGTAGAAAATCAACAGCATCACAACTGAAGCAACTTATGGAACTTTCCTTCCAACCAATGGACAATATTTCAGCCCTTTGAGTTTCACTAATCTTACAACCACCTGCTTTACTTTTCAATAAAATGGACTGCGTCAAGCATACCAGCTGGAAAACTTCAAAATTGAGCACTAAAGCTTCCAAAAGCAAACCTTATGTAGCTAGTTAATGGAATATATCTTTTCCTTCAACTTCTCCTCTTAAACATCTATCAGTCATTAAACCCAACTATTGTGGTCAATATATGGCAACCTTCAATCTCAAAACTCAACAAGGATGTTAAAGAGGTAACGATCTCACTAAATTCTGCAACATAATAAATTTTCTTACCAAAAACTTGTGATTCTCTTTAAGTAGAGGCGTAAAGGTAGTACAAAATTTCTCTATATCACCCATGATATCACCATTGCCTCCTATCACCTCCATGAACTTCTTCCTGTCAGGAGCAAGCTTCATGGCAACCTATCATTACAGAGACTAATAAGTCCAAATTTCAACAAAAATGAAGTTCTTGTTTGCAATTTCTTTCATACTTTCAGTAAAGAAAAAGGCGGGGATACTGAATATTAATTAAATCATAGAGTACAAGTAATTATGAATCAGTGGATAAGCTAAGTGAACTTTGCTGGTACTTAGTATTCAAAAATATCCTTTATCAAAACAGTGAAACTATACTAAAGAGCAGGGTTTTTCTCTAATATGGGAAACACAGAAATGCTTTCAGATTTAATAAATACAATAGCTTCATGCTTTCAGATGAGTTCTGTATTTTTTACATGCTAAATTCTTGAATTAGAAACTAGCATCAAAGCGTAGCTAGCAAAGATGGTGATCATGAGAAGTATATAAAAATGCATCCAGGGCCAAATAATTAACAATGCTAAAGTTAAGCAGTAAAGCATTTAGAAAGGAAGCAATCTACTTTAGAATATAATCACCATAATTCTATTAGAGTCCAGCATGGGACAGTCAAAGGATAAAGCCAGTATGAAAAATGGTTGCACATCAAATAATTGAAGGGGCATCAAAGACATTTACACTGAAACTTGAACTAGCAAGCCATCCATGCCATTTTTTCAGGGTCTTGCCATAGGAATCTGTACAAGCCTGTGACATTGTCCAATCTGGATGATCCAGTAAGTTCCGAAACAGCTCCACCAAGAAATCCATGGCTCTGAAAATAAATCAAGAATAGTATCATATATATAAGGTATTGCATTTCAACAATGTGCAAAGGCATAAAAGTGAGAAAAACACGAGTTAATGATTATATATAGTGTTCACCTTGTCAGCCAAAGAAGACCATTGGTGCAGCTGGATGATGCTTTTGCAGTTTTTGTTTCAACCTCAAGTTGCACCAAGCTGTACAAGTAGTTGAACTTGGAAGGATTCGATGAATATTTAGATTCCAATCTCTACACAGCCAAAATTGAAGAAAGTGAGAATACGGATGGGCATTCAAACTCAATGAACAAAAAAAAAATTCTTACTTTCAACAAATATATCACCTACAAGATGTTCTAAGCAAATTGATGCATAAATGGGTAGATTAGCATTGCCATATCCAAGTCAGACAAGACAAATCATATCTATGACTACTAAAAACAAATAATTCAAGTTTACCGAGAATCACAAAAGCAGGAAGAAGTACTAAACTGGCAACGAACACGAATGGTGAAAAATACATGTAAAAGAAACATATCTTACCGTTATATTACCACCTATGTCCGATTTAACAAGGGTCATAGCAGCTCCAAACTTATCTGGCATCAGAATTTGTAATTGCACTTGTTAAGTCAAAGGGTCATGCCCAGAACCAAAGCACAAAGCTCGTATTGTAAAAATAACAAATGGGTAGGAAACATTATGCTTAAAAATCATGTACAAACGACAAGCATGCATTGTGGAAACTGAAAACTGGTTCAAAGTTTTGGAATCAAAGAGGTTAAAGCAATTTGGGATCAAAACAAAACAGGGAGGAGAGAAATGATGAACCTATAACAGGCAGAATCTGCTTGCACACTTCCAAGAAAGGCTTGGTCAGAATCTCTCCTGCATCAGACTTGACAGTCTTGAATCCTTCCAAGGCAGGAGCGAACACAGTCCCCTCCATCTTCCCAATTCACTGCGTACCCACATCATCATTTCAAATTCACATACCGAAAAAATAAGTAAATTTTGCAAGCAAGCTCCAATCTTTATCAATAAACAGCTTAATCAAAACATTTCAACTAAAACCAATGATTTTAAAACAAGTTCCAGATGAACATACACTGTATCCAAATTTACAACATAACTTGATCATCGCATGTATAATTCAAAGAGAGTGAGAAAAAGATCGGAGCTTACAAGCAAGCTGCTGTTACAATTTGCAGAGTTGGGTAGCTTCGGATGGCTTGGATCTGAGTAAGATCACAGAAAATGGTGAAGATCAAAACCAAAAACAACAATAAAAATGATGATAAACGAATCAAAAAAGAGGAAGGAAATGTGGGTTGGATTCAATATTCCGAAAATGGGAAACGTTTGCGGAATTGGAGAAATTACGAGAGAATCGAATTCTTCTATGACTTTAGAAATGGTGGTGGTGGGATTGGGATCAGGATTGAAATTGAATTGCTTTTGGGAAGTGAACAATTTTTAAAAGCTCAAGTGATTGAAGGTAAAGGATTTGACTAATTGACTGCTGGGACTGTGTCGTTTGGTGATTTGGGTGAGTGAATTGCGCGAATCCGCGGCATCTGGCATACGACATGTTGTACGCCAGAGGGCTTTGTGGCCGTTATGATGTTTTAATTTTAATTTTTTTATCTGTTAGACTTTTACTGTTACTGGTATTGTTGCTGCTTCTTGTTGCATCTTTTTATTCTTTCTTCCCGATGAAATTATCTGTTACTTGTTAAGCGGAGATATTCATGATTTAAAAGCGTTTCTTATCTTCCTCATAAGTCATAACCTCTCCAACTGAAGTTACCTTTGCATAATCATGAATATTAAGATCCTGAATGAGTTAGATTAGGTCGGATAAACCGATCAAAGTGGGGTGGTGGATCATTTCAAGCCTAGACCTACAAATCGTTAGTTGATCAATGTATCAAGTTAGACGGAAATGTTATGATGAGGGGTTTTTGGGTGAGGGGTTGTGGGAAGGGTTCAAACTTCAATTTCACTATCCAACGAGAGAGAAAATATTAGAGTTAAATTTTTTGAATGATTGAATGGTTGAATTGAACCCCACATTGAACCCTCTCACCCAAATCCCCCTCATTACAGAAGCTCCCCAAATTAGATTCCCCTTGGATCAAAATACATGTAGGGTCTACAATGATCTTACCTTGGGCCTTGTGGTCAATAAAACTTCTAGTAAGTTCAACCCTAAGAAGAAACGAAGCCAAAAATTTTCTTTAGTGAGGAAAATTTAATAAAGTATCACAATTTTATTATATGTGTTAAAGTTGTAGAAAGATGGGAGTTGAAAAGAGAAAGAGCTTATATGTTAAACTTCATTTTTTGAATCAAAGTAATAAGCTTTGACAATTGAGGAATTGTGAGTTTATTAGGTCTAGCCCAGTACAAATGGACATTAATTTGCAAACCAGTAGTCTTAAATTCGAACCCTAATGACACAATGACAGTTTGTAAGAAAACCCCTTCCCCAAAATAAAAAAAGTAAAGAAGGGAGAGAGAGAGAGAGAGAGAGAGAGAGAGAGAGAGAATTTGGGCCAATGATAGACGTGGGCAACGTGAATGGCTCGACTTTAGAGGAGCTTCTACAATGAGGAGTTAAAGTGAGGAGGTTATTTAAGGAGACCGATCCGACCGTCAAAACATTTAAAATATTTAAGTCCCATGATTTCTTTACATTTGTTGATGGTGAGATTTGACCTCCTCAAATAACCTCCTCACTTTAAGCCCTCATTACATTTGTTTAGAAAACGATGCTGAAACCATATGCATTCAAAACCGAAATAGCCATATATGTATAAATAGTTGAATCAAAACCATAATGAAATCCGAAATCCCATAAAGGTACTTTGTTTCTCAACCCAATCAAACCTTTTCAATATACACCCAAACCATTCTCTTGAGAAACGTGCCTGTTGGAATGGCGAGTGAAGAAGTATCCTCACCGATAAATAATAATGAATAAATAGTTATATATATATATATATAAGTAAGATACCATCTAGTTTGTACTTGGGAAACAATCCAACCGGGGGATTGTTTGACTAAGAATCATCAATTGACCATGTGGCTAGAGAACGAGTCGTCCAACTGGGACTAAGCTCACCAGCATGTACACCAGAATCCTCAATACTCGTACGCATGTGACAAGTCCTATGCGAGCAGACTAACCCCACTAAGAGTTTATGAAACACCTCACCAAGGGTGCCCGGGTTCCAACATATCTAAGTATCTCAACATTCCAATTCCATTCCATAATTTTCGTAACCGGGGAGGTATATAGGGTAATGCGTATAGCACTTTAACTTACATACTAAAACCCACTTTCTTTCCATAATCTCACATCAACACCCCACGTACCCCACACATAGCCAAACATAGATAGAAATTCTAAAAATCCAAATATATAAACTCAAGATACTCAAATATGTCAAAACCCGAATATAATGCAAATACTTTACAAAAATATTAAATTCCACAATTGAATATTCAATAAACCATTAAATCAATATGCGTAGTTTTTCCATCATAAAACAATGTCTGACCCTGAGAGGGTTCTGCTTGCTGCTTAGGTGTGGTCGGAGTACCTATTTCAGAATAGAAGTACGAGATTAATATAAAACGCTTTGAACGGGAACTTTAAGTTAAAATCCTAGTTTGTCAGGTTTCAAGTAAGTGCACGAGGAACGAAACGTTCCTAAAGTCCAACTACATGTTTTGGATGATGGGATAGCCTCGGAAGATGCTCGGTCAACCGAGCAGTCAAACTTTCCAAATTGGGTCAACCGGGCCCACGAGGCCACGACCTCAGATTTTCGATCTGGAAGTTCCTATAGGTTCCACAAGGTTTAGAATACACGTCCTATAAGTTCGCACAATCGGATGGTTATCGTTTAATGCAAACTTTCAGGGCTCGTTTGGGACTACTTCTCTAGGAAGCACTTCTACTTATAAATGCTTCTACAAAAAGAGTTTTCATTAAAAAGACGTTGAAATTTTCATAAGAAATTGAAGTGCTTCTTAGAAAAGCACTTGGGAGTGCTTCTTGAAAAAGCACATGACATGTGCTTCTCCATAAAGCGCTTCAATTGCCCAAAAACGCTTCTAAACTTTTCTGTCAAACGCTGTCAGAAGCGCTTTTGGTTATCAAAAAAACGCTTTTAATTGTTCTTGAAGCACTCCCAAACATGCCATAAGTTATTGAATTGGAACATCCAAGGCTTCGATTCATGATCCACGAAATTCTACACAATTCTAGGGATTCCTAGATCAACATATATGAAATTGAAGTTGATCCAACGGTCTGAACATGTCGAGCCCGGATAACGCCTAATATGCAATATCCGATCGACGGTCAAAGGATAACCAAATTCAAATTTGAGCACACCTTCGTGCTCGGGACGATATGAGGATTATTTTAGGACCAAGAGGGACACCAAAATAGTGCCCACGCCCCGCCACAGGGCCAACATCGCATGGGTGTCTAAAGCGATTCTGGCGATTGGAAAATCTCCAAACCACTGGTCAAGACTTATACCTACATGATCAGGACATTGAGTGGAGCAATTTTTGTTCTTGGACCAACCCCAAAAAGTGGCCGGAGGTGGCCGGAATCAAGGGGCCGAAAACGGCCAAAACTTCTATCTCTTATTTGACAACCAAAACGCAGAAATTGATTCTAAATATCCAACCAGCAACTTTATCAAATTGAGAGAATAAAAAGCATACCTAGATCGTAAGATTTGGTGCCCGGAATTGTTTGAAATGAGTGTTGGAAAATTTACGTAAAAACCTGCTGTTTTTCTTGATTTTCTGGTAGTATGCGACGGCGGTGGCGGTTCAGAGCCGTGTGGAGAGAGAGAGAGAGAGAGAGAGAGAGAGAGAGAGAGAGAGAGAGAATTTCATATTTTTATCAAACCCTTTTCGAATTATTTACGGTTATGCCACTATGTTTGTTTTGGTTGTACCTTCTTCGTTACAACTCTGATTCAAGCCCACTACGTGTCTATGGACTCATATCAACACGATATACGTAATGGTACCAGTCATTTCCCCCAAATCATTTTGGATTAGTAAGTGACCAAATTACCCCTACCCTTATGGGCAAAATTGTAATTTCACAACTTAATAAATTAATTAAATTAACGGATAAAGATATTTTGGGTTGGGATGTTACATTTAAGGATTTCTTCTCCTTCCTTTTTCTGGGTTTTGGGTTTACAAATTTACAAACCATGGCCTGATGGTCTGCGGCAGCATCAGATGGGTTGGGTGATTTGAGTTTCAAAGGTTGGGGGTGAAATTGAGTTTCTAATAAAGGAGGAGAAGGTGGGGTGGTGTTGATGGATGAGGAGGTTCAAGCCATTGCCACCACAATGCCTAGGCTGAAGCACCTTGAGATGGCATACCATCTTATCAGCACAAAAAGCGCTCTTCAAATACTCTCAAGCTGCACCGAGCTCGAGTTTTTGGATTTGAGAGGGTGTTGGGATGTTCAACTTGAGGACAAGTTCCTCAAGGAAAAGTACCAAAAATTGAAGGTTTTAGGGCCTCTTATTCTCGGATGCTTTTGAGTAGTTGGCCTGGGAATTTGTGGCCGGTGAATTGGAGGATTACTATGATGATGATGATGTGAGTTATGATGGGATGTGGGATGATGAGGGAAGGCTAGAGGAGCTAAGCTGAGGTTTTATGAAGGAATTGATCAGAATGGGGATGCAGTGTATTGAAGGTATGGTTGGCCTCCATCTCTTTAATAAAGTTGAGTTTTTTTCTAACTTTTCAAACTATTTGCTTTCTTAGGGATTTCTTCTCCTTCCTTTTTCTGGGTTTTGAGTCTAGAAATTTACAAACCATGGCTTGATGGTCTGCAACAGCATCAGCTGGGTTGGTTGATTTGAGTTTCAAAGTACAATAGTAATTTTTATTAATATTGTACTTTGTAAAATGACAAACTTACCTTTATAATTGATGGAAAATTGGATGGAAGTGTAGAAACTTGATGGCAGGTGTTAAATTGGCGATACAATTTATTATAAGGGCTAAATTGGCTGAAAAAATAATTCAAAGTGGACATTTTGACAAGCGTTATAGTTTAGGGGGATTTTCGGCACTTTACCCTTTATTTATTTTTCAACCATATTTCATTTTTCACTAACTAGCTTTTTGATACAACCAATATTAGGGATACAACCGACACTAGCGAAGCGAGAGAGAATTGAATCTAGAACCTTAACTGCAAGGGTAAATATTCTTTACTATTTGAGCTAATAATAGACCAATTAACTCGCTTAGTTTGTCCATCATCTCATGTAAGGAAATTAAAAATCTCTTCTTTATTTTCCTTTTTGTTTCCGTAGTTTCATGCACACTCCCTAAACCCAAAAAGAAGAAAGGAAAAAAAAACAAAAACAAAAAAGGTATTGATAGATCTGTTGAATCATTCAAACATAAAACCCCATCTGCCAATGAGAAAATAAGGAGGAAAATAAAATATTCCATTCTAAATTCATACGAAGATTTTATTAAAATCCAAGGTAAAGCTCATCAAGCAAAATAGACAAATACAAGTCATCATCTTCTTCTTCTTTTTGGGTTGGGGGAATTAGAAGGAGAGTTTGGGTTTGGGTGGGTATTTGATTGCATTCTTGACAATCTTTTTGGAGGCAGCATCACCAAGATCAATGCCGCATATATCAGCCAACCTGATGAGGTATAGAAGCACATCAGATAGCTCTTCTCCCAGATGCTCCTTATCTGATTCCTCCCAATTTGGCAACCCTTTGTCCACCTCTCCCCTCCATTGGAATATTTCTGATAGCTCTCCTACCTCTCCCACCTACCACCACATCACCATATATTATTTGGCATCATCAAGAATCAATAAGAGGAGGTATATATTGTCAATGTATATCAACCATGAATTTATTATTATTTTTAATTTTTAGTTTGTATATATTTTCATCCACTCATATACATGAATGCCTTGGATTTGTATGATTCTACGCAATCAAATCTTGCTAAAAGTGTTGCTTTCATAAACAAGATGACATGAAAGAGCTTTTCCAAACCTTGGGCGCACATGTAAGTTGTAATTTGTAACCCCCCATATGCCTTAGCCTGCCAAATGTTTATTATGCCAAAGAATATTGCACCAAAGTGCGTGGCACATTGAAGAACCATTTAGCTTTGATGCAAAACTGAAGTTGCAAACCCAGTTTCATATTGCAGAAACTGTTAAAGCACAACCTTAGCAGCAGCCATATGTGGATGAACATGGCAGCAGGTGCAAGCAGCCCAAACTAATAGTTGCTTTAATAAATCTGCCATCAAAGTTTTGGCAGACCTGCCAAGTTTGCAGCTACAGTTTACTGCTCGTTAAAATTCTCAGTCTGGACTTTCATGAAAGGTAATTCATGTAGCAACAAGAGACCCTTCATACATGTCTAAAAAAAATGTGTCTTTATCTACAAAGAGATCCAACAAATGGAACAATATAGAGAAGATTGCATGACCCTTTTGTGCAAAAACGACATAGAAGAGAAATAAAGCCATGGTTAACAAAAACATATCTCATCTGGTGTCTGCACATTATTACTGTGCGGATGTTATAGTTTGTAAGTAGAGAGAGGTAGTAGAAATATATGATGTCCGCACAGTAATAACGTATGAAAGTCCGCATCAGAGAATTTATATATATATATATATATATATATGTTCAGGGAGAAGTAGTGAGGAAGATTATTTACCATGGCAAGGAGTAGATTTCTGGGACTGTGGTATTTCTCCCAATCTCTGGCCTTGGCAAATTCCTCAAGCTTCTTAGAGAGGTCCTTAAGACTAATGTTCACTCTCTCATCTTCAGCTACATGAATCTCTTCTCCTTCTCCCATTTTTCAGTCTGTATTTGGGTTTTGCATGGAGAGAAGAGGGGGCATCTTATAGCTTTTAAAAGGATTACTAGATTTTTTCTCTCTATCTTTTTAAGGAATAAGTATCTAATATGCTAATAAAATTGAAAGGAAAGGATGAAAAGTCTTAAAATGCCGCCCCTCAGTCCTCAATCCTCATATATGGTTTATACAAGAGATTCCTTACTGCCCTCCACTGTGCAAAATGACCCAACTTTAACGCATAAAATTAGATGAGAACATTCCATCATTAGTTACCATGGATTTCATGTTTAAATCACAAACCATTAAGGATGAGATGGTCATTCATTTAGTGTTCCAACCACTAGAAGGATTAGGTAGCTCAGAAGTGATTCATTCCCCTTGACTCAAAATGCAATGATATCGTGTAAGAGACTTACTACTCAAGTGATTAAAAACGTTTATCACTGCACCTAAGATTTTGTTTCGATTCTCCTCTGCTCCAATATTACTGGTATAAGATATGCGACAATACAACTAAGAGTAAAGTTGTACAATTACCCCCTTTAGGTGTAAATTTTACTTTCCTTTTACTCCATGGCAAATTCTACTTTCCTTTTACTCCATGGCAAATTCATGAACCTTGATATAATTGACTATATTAAGGTGAAAGATGAACATATATGACTCAACTTTCCAATTTCCCTATGATGAGATCCAATGCAGAAATTCTCTTAACCCATAATTATATGTGACAATGCTAGTTAATCTGCAATTAAGGAACATAATTATATGGTACCATGGATGTGATCAATTGTTGTGACCATGTGCAACTCACATCATTCAAAAGATATTCAAAAATTTATGTGGGACAAGCTGTGGTGTGTGGTAGGTGTCTTTGAATTTGTCAACCTCCTTATACTGTCCAATATGCAATGGATACAAACTAGAAAAATAACTTAAAAATCTTCTAACCGCAAACAAAACTTCCTTTTTTCCTCCTTTTCTTTTGGATTCTTTTCCTTTTATTAGCTGCAGCATCACGCATCACTATACTTTCAGTTTGTGAATGTGAGAAAGATATCCAAAGTTAATTAGAAAGTATACCTGCTCACGTGTTGTGATAATATTCTTTTGCTAGATAATTTGGTATTTTATGTTGTTGAACTATCAATTTGGACCACCGATTATATAATTTCTTGTCCGGACGTGTGGTTACGATTAAACAAGACTTTGAGAAACCTAAAGCACCAATATTAAAATCCAATAATAATTCTTTTCTTAGGGCATGTGTAAGCATATATTGCGATTTCAACGATTCCAAAAGAAGTGTGAGAAATTCTTAGGCTATTCCACACAAAGTTTAATCATTGTGTTCTACAGCATTAAAGAAAAGAATATCATATGTCATTCAAGTTAAATCAATACAAAGCGTAGCAAACGATCACCATGGCAATTACTTATTAAAAAAATTGTTAACGCAATAGTTGGCCTGCACATACAACCTTGAGAATAACCATTACGAAATGTGAAATGAAATCTAACTAAAGTAGAAAAAAAAAATTACAAGAATATACGATATGGCATTAGAGAAAGAAGAAGAAGAAAAAAAAGCTAAGTTCAAGGTTGAAATCAACTGGCTAGGGCTGTGGATATGACAAAGATAAACTTAATAACGATTCAGTGCCATGTAGAAGATCCGATAAGATAAAATTCAGAAAGGGTCGGCACAATGCTTGAATTCTTTAAGTGACAATTCCCATGTCGAAAATGTTAAGAATCTTGTTGTTCTAGCTAGGGATCAGTCGGTCGGTTTGACATTATTGACATTCATCTTGGGTGATGTTTAACTGCTGGGAAAAAAAAATTCATAAATTCTCCGATCCTTCCCAAAAGGATCCAATTGTTAGGCAAGATACCAATAATATGGACTGGTGGTATATTATATTGACCATTTGTTATTATTTTTTTCTTCCTCTTTTTTAAACATCGCTAGACCTTAAGTTTCGAACTTAAAACCACTAGCAACTGATGTTATGATATCATGTTAGACTATGTTTAGTAGATTAACAATATATTTGAAGCTCACTCTCTCCTCATGATAAAAGTTTATACTACAATTTTAATTATTGAACACAAATTATGGTGTTGTCACCCCTCTTTCGAGCTTCAGAGCGCTTTATGAGTATAACGTCGAGGATCATGTATAAAGTTGAGATTTCGTGTCCAGATATATGGAGTCGAGTCAAGTACTGAGACCCAACTTCGAGTCTAGAGTCCAAGGTCTAGGATCTAGATCCTAGGTTTTGGAAATTGAGTCTAAAGGTCTATAATAGAAAGTCCAAGTTTTGTGGTCTAGGGTCGGGGTTTTAGGTACATTTCAAGTCCTATTGCTCTTTACACCTTAGATACAACATTCATTTCTTCTAATTTCCCTCCCCACCTATTGATCTTTCTCTTCTACCTTTTCCATTGTACATTTTCTTTAGAAGAAAAAGAAAAAAGAAAAGGAGATTCACTATTATACTAAATATAGGAGCCTAAATTATATATATATATATATATATATATAAACCTACATGAAAAGGACTTTAGAAACACACCCAAAGCTCATTTACAACATAACAAAGACGCTTCGAACTTCCTATAAATTACAAAATTGTCATCAATTTCTTAAAACAAGCCCAACCCCAAAACCTCATTAAAAAAATCCAAAACACTCAATAGGGCATCAAAGTAATTTAATAATCAAAAGTAAATTCAAAAGGGCTAGCTGTTATTTTTTGCGTTTGTTTATAGAAATTAAATGATGTAAGATTTATCTATATCATTAGTGCTAAGAATGGATATATAACTAAATATCTCTCTCTATATATATATATAAAATTGTAGTTTGACATAAAAGTAAAACTATAGAATTAAAGAAAAATTAGTGAGAATAGAATGGGAGAATAAAGAGAAAGATAGAGAGCAATGTTTTAGATATCATCAAGTCGCCCTTTTTCCATTCTATTAAAGGGTCATTCACGGCACTAGTTATAGTTCCATGAGTGAGGATGATACCCAAAAAGTTAATAAAACATTTGGACTGAAAGAATATAAATTTAAAATGTTATCTCTTTTTATTTATTTTTTTGGAAATTTAAAATGTTATCTAAGCATCAAACTTTGGTATGCTTGTTATTTATTTATTTTCCTTACAAAAGACATGAATTTAAGCTTTACTTGCGTGGAGACTTAAAAATGTTTATTCGAGAGGGTGCCACTTTTTTAAGATTCGAATTTCGTACACGTATCAACAGTTTCCTCCAAGCACACTGATACGTATAAGATTTAGGGAAAGTGGTCACCATGTAAGGTGTTGAATGAAGTGGCCCAGTTGAAGAGAAGAGGAATTTAACCTTGAAGATATTTAGGGAAAAAAATGAAGAAGAAAAACTCTTCTCGAAAATAGAGAGGAAATGGAGATGAAGTTGGTGATAATGAAGTTTTAAGAACTTGAACGAAATTGTTGGGGAGTAAATAACAAGATATTGCAACAAATTCCAAACGATTGATAATGTTTTGGTTAGTTCATATATACGGCGCTTAAGAGATGGGAAATATTACTAGACTGAGAGAGTTAGTTGATATCCGCGAGTCTAGAAAGTCTGACCAATAAAGTGTTAGTTGGATTGACTTAGATTTTTGGTGAGCTCTCAAGTAGTCTTGGGTTTAAGCCCCCATGGTACCCACGTATGTGAGTTTGCCCATCCCCATTCTTAATTTTGGCATATATATATATATGAGTCTATTATGAACTTGATCTATTTTAAATAATTAAGATATTGCATCTCCACCTGTGTTTCGGTGTCGAATCTCTACCAACATTCTTTTTGTGGTTTCTTCATGCTTGGAATAAGTCATAGAGACTCTTTGAGTTTTCTGTATAATTTTCATCTCTCCTTTGTGAGAGCTTTCCACCTCTTATTTGTGAGAGTTTTATTTGTATTGTCATGACTTGGTTTTTTCAAGTTTTATCCATGTTTAGTTGTTCTGAGTTTGCACTTTTAGTTGGGATGCATATGCCAAAATTTCTTCAATCATGTGTGATCGTTAGTGGAGGAGCCCCAAAATTTCTCCTAAAAAAAAGAAGATATTGACATGTCAATTCCCACGTTTCGGTGACTAGTTTTCGATAATTATATATATATATATATATATATATTGCAAGATTCAATAATTCTAACAATTAATTATGTTTTAGAAAAAGAATTATCATAGATTAAGAATTAACTAGTAAAAGAATTTTATGTTTACTAATCCGTAATTGGAGTAAGATGAATTGAATTGAGGAGGAGTTGGATTGGGGAGAATTAGATTCAAGATTTATATTGAAGTTGTTTACTAAACTATATGGATTGAAGGAAGTTAGATTCCGAATTCATATTGAAGTTGTTTACTAAATCATATGGAATTGGAGTACGAGTTGTACTAATTACTCAAATATCCTTGTTGTTGGGTTAAAGTAAATGGCGAATTTTAAAATTTTAAAATTGTGTGAGGATATAATGGGTAAAAAAGATGAATTCTTAATGGGTTATTTCTTTAGGAATTAGAATACCACATCCCATCCAAGAATTGAATTCCTCCAAAATCAGGAATTCAATTCCTAATTTTGTGTGGGCCCCACTTACTTTTTAATTCATTCATGTGAAGTAAAGACATGAATCCTCCATAGGTAGAATTCAATTCCTGATGAGAATTCCAATTTCTGATTAGTAAACACACCATCAGTATACTAAACTAAAGTCATTTAGATATCAAATCTAAACAAAAACAAATCAAAATCCCCATATTTATTATCAATGATCAATTACTAGATTTTAATAAAATAGTATTATTCTTTCTAATGTTTTTTTTTTTGGTTGAGAAATTCTAGAATTGTATTCATAATTCAGCCAAAAAAGTCATTAATCACAAACAGTCAATACAAACTAGCCACAAATAGTCATTACAATAACGGAGCGATTTAAAAGATG